TAGAATTTAGTAAAAAAATTTAAAATATATTTTATATTAAAAAATAAATTTTTTAAAAAAGTTTTTTCAAGGTTTCCAAAAAAGTTAATATTTAAATATGAATATTTGATATTTGGTTGATAAAAAATGTTAAAAAAACTCAAATTATAGTAATGATTTGCTGCATATAGCAAAATTTGGTTTGCTTAATAGTAGTACTTATTATGTATTAATCTAATTGATCAAATTGGAAGTTTATAATTATAAACTTACTTATAGTTTATAAATAGAAGGTTAAATTTTATCATATATCAACCATTAGATGGTGAATAAACTAAAATATACTAGTGTTTAGATAGCTTATAAATGATAAACATGTCTATAATTTAAGAATATATAAGATTAATATAATAAAGAACAACTTAGATGGTAGAATATCCCAGAATATCTAAGTATATTTTATGTTAATCCAAAAAATTTAAAAAATTATAACTATTTAATAAATTTCAAAAGTATAACTTGGTTTTCTTTCATCATTTAAATTATTTATTATTTTAAATGACAAAAAAGAATTATTTACTTATTATTTATTATCAGTAATGTTTTTGTAAATGATCATTACTTTTACAAAATCCAAGTTGATGATAGTGTTTGGGTTTTATCTATGACAAATTCTAATAGCAGCAAAGTCAATATTTAAATTTACCTTTCCAAATGCATATGTGGTAAATTATTTTGAGTTGTTATGCTATTGTTTATTTCTATCAAATTAAAGCTATTATTTAGAACCAAGAGAACCAACCATTTCTTTTGGTTTAAAAGTTTTAAATTGAAAGTGAAGACTATAGGGACTAGAGTGAGGTGAATTTTATGCTTTTTACGTAGTGCCTAAAGAATATATTGTGAATAATCATGAATAAGAGAGGATGGAGAGCTTTCATATAATAATAAAAAAAAAAGGGAACTACATTACATGATGATATGTCTAAAGCATGCCAATGTCAACTGTTTGAAAACCCATGCCTTGGTTGTGACGTCAGCAAGATCAAACCAAACAAAGAACAGAGATTTATAGGGTGGTGTCACGTTGGTGGGGTGCAGCGTCTTTGACTGCAAACCCCAAACCCACGTCCACAACATGAATCCGACAAAGTCAAATTCCACGTATTTAACTAAACGACCGTGCTTGACGCCAGCCCTAGTTTGGACGGCCGGGATGCGAGGGCGGCATTTTGGGGACCTGCCGTTTTGGGACGGCGGCAGCGCAAGAAAGAAAGAAGGCCAGATCTTTCACAACAACAAACAAGCTTTGTAGGTTTTTCCCCCTCTCTTTTTCTTTTCTAGCTATTCTTCTTCTCTAGTGGCATCGCATCGCATTCAAGAGATGGATGGATTTTATTGCCCGAGAGGAGCGCCCGTGATTGCGAGAGCGAGAGGTAAGCGCGGGCGATCGATCAAGTGGGATTGATTGATTGCGGCACAGCCAGCGAGCGCGCGAGCGACCGCCTCACGAGAGATCCTGCGCGTGCTTTGCAGGATCTTGGATCGCTCGCGACATGATCTCGACGAGTGTGAGGTGATTCGCGTATGGGCGAAAATATTTGGGAGATTGCCCCATCTTTTATGCACGTTTTCTTCGGACCTCGCTTTCATTCCTTCTAATTTCCTGGAGCATCCACCGGTATTCTTTGCTTCTCCGATCCGCGCGGCGCATTCGCGATGGAGAAATGTGGATGGTGTGGGCTGGATTCACTCGAGAACACGGCAGCAGCACTGTGAGATGATGTACGTGTGCTTTTGGGAAGTTCGATTGGAATCGGTACACTCATCATCCATTTCCTTTGCTTTGCAGGAATGGATTTGGATGATTGTACTCGAGAGGAGGAGAATCACGAGCGGCACCACCAACAGCCAGAGAATGCTTGGCCGAAACAATCATGGATGCTGCTACGACTGGTGAGTGTGACTCCGTCATAGCCTCTAGTCAACACTACTGGAAGAGGAACTCTCGAGCAAGTTGCAGTACCAGTGGTGGTCCTCCATGGTTTCTTCCGTGAAAGACAAGCAGCCGGCACAGGACCCGGGCTCTCCATCTCAGTCGGTCTCGAATTCTGGCAGCTCGCCGTGTCACCGCCAGACGAGCTTGGATCAGCGAGCTTCCACGATCGCTGGCCTGCAAAACTTGGATCTGGAGAAGACGAGTGGATCCTCCCCGGAGGCGGATAAGGCCGCGGGAGACGAAAAGAAGAAGAAGAAGAGACGGAGGAGTGGGGGAGGAGCAGTGGCTCAAAAGTCTCCTGATCAGCAGCAGGATCTCGGCGATGGTGGAAAGCATTCTCCGGATCAACAGCAGGGCCCAGGAGGAGCTACAGGCAATCTGGACAAGTCAACTCCAGGTGATCCTCATAATTCCCAGCACGATCCAAACACGGCTGGAGCAGCAGCAGCACCATCAGCAGCAGCATCAGCATCAGCTTGGTGGCTACAGCAACAGCCAGTGGATCCATCAACTGTCCCAGCGGCGGGATTCAGGCAGCCACCACCTTACAGCTATCCTCCGCCGCAGTTCCGGCCAGAGTTACGCCTCCCCACGTCAGTGATCCGGCCGACGAGCATTCCGCACGAGAAGTCGCCGTTTCTCGGTCGTCCGGAGGAGCACCACGGCGCGGGCTTGATGAGCCAGGACGTGACGGACAATGGCAACGCCAGGACCATCGGTTCTAAGAAAGCCGAAGGCAAAAGCTTTGTCGAGTGGCGACCGGAAATGAGCCAGGCAGTGGCACTGCCGTCGAGCTCGCTGGTCTTATCTCATGGCTGGAAGAACCAAACAGCGAGCTACTTCACTGGCTTGAACGCCAACTTCCGGCCAGACATGAACTTTCCTTTGCCGCAGCAGGGCTGGAATCTTCCTTCCAGCAGTGTGGGACTCGGTCTCCACAACCCAGGTACTCATTTCATCATCCATCGCAAAGATGTGGAAAAATTCTAGTCTAAAGTTGCAACTGTAGGTGGTAGGGAGAACTTATTCCTGGGACGTCCGCCGGAGCAGACCCGAGTCATCACTGTCGTCATGGAGGGACGCTCCATAGATGGGAGGATTTGCCTGAGTGACTACGATGGCTATGGCAGCTTCGCAGCGGCACTACGATCGATGTTCGGATCGGAGGAGGAAGCCTCCACAGCGGCGGCGGAGCAAGCTTGCAGCCTCTCTAACGCAATCCCGCACCACATTATCGCGTACGAGGACGCCGAGGGTGACCTCCTCCTCGCCGGTGATCTCTCCTGGAGGTGGTGCTCGCATCTTTTACAGTTTCCTCCGCGAAAACACTGTGAATGTCTCTCTTCCTGGTTTGGCTGTGCTTTGTCAATTCCTGCTGCTTGAGTACGTGTAAGTCACCTTTTTCGTGCTCTGCGATTCTTTCCAGCTCTGCTGCTACTGTGCTTCGTTCTCACTCTGTCGTGTGGCTTGCAGGAACTTCGTCCGCGCTGCCAAACGAATCAGGATTCTTGCGGCAAGAGGCCGACGCGTAGTGGCAGTAGCGTGACACGAGCAAGGGACAGAAGTTTTGATCGGCTTTGAGAACGGCAGTAAAAAGGCACGTCCATGCCGGGATGGTGGGAGCAAACGGCATGCTGTGGAAAAGATCCACCGCAGCCTGGAGCTGTCCCGATCTCGCGAGCACGTCCAGGACGGAGAAGTAGTTGTACGCGTCCGGAGACAGGCAGTGATCCACCTGGGCCGAGGTGAAGTGGTTCCACACCGGGAGAAGCAATCCAGCTCGAGAACAGGCAGCAAGAACTGCCGAGAGAGCAATCTGGTTGGCACCGTGGCCTGCGAGGAGCATCGAGCGGAAGGAAAGAATCGCGTCTTGGGACCGCCCAAAGTGGCTGTAGGCGGCAACCAGGCAACTCCAAGAAACCGGAGTGAGTTCCGGCATTCGCTCGAAGAAGAGCTTCGACTGGGACAGATGCCATGTCTGGGCTTCTGCAGAGAGGAGAGAATTCCAGGAGATGGAATCCTTCTCTGGCATTGTAGCAAAGAGATGATTTGCAATATTTGCCTCTTTTGCTTCCGAGTAGCAGCCTAGAAGTATGTTCCACGACACGAGATCTCTCTCAGGCATGGAATCAAAGAAGTGTTTTACTTCATAAAAATGCCCATTTTGGGCATATGCGGAGATAAGCGCGTTCCAGGCTACTAGATCTCTTCTTGGCATGCGATCGAATGTGGATTTCGCTTGCTCGAGCTTGCCAGAGCGCGCGCAATCGTGTAGTAGAAGCGTCCACGACGCAGCGTCGTGATCGGGTATAGAATCGAGCAGAGCTATCACTCCCTCCGAGTCGCCACCGCGAGCCCGCGCTGCCGCCATAGCGTTGCAACACGCGATGCTCACCTCCGGGATCTGGGCGAAGAGCTCCTCGGCTTGTTCTCGCTCGCCACCGAGCGCCTGGATCATCGCAGCCCAGGACGCGGCCGATCGCGCGGGCGCAGCGGCGAAGATCTCCCGCGCCCGATCGATCCGCCCGTGCCGCGCAAATGCCACCACCGCAGTGTTCCACGACACCACGTCGCGCGCCGGCATCGCGTCGAAGAGATCCGCCAGCGCTCGCAGATTTCCGCGCCGGGCATGGCACTCGAGCATCGTGTTCCACACCACGACGTTCCACTCGGGCATGCGATCGAAGAGCGCGGTGGCACTCGCCAGATTTCCGCTTTGGGCATTTGCGTGGAGGAGCGCGGACCACGAGACAATGCTCCTCTCGGGCGAGCGATCGAAGAGGCGCTGCGCACCAGCGGCATCGCCGGCGCGGGCGTGCGCGGCGATGATCGCGTTCCACGAGATGCGGTCGTGCTCGGGCATCTGGGCGAAGACCTCTTGCGCTTCCCGCAGATGCCCGTTTCGGGCATAGCCGGACAGCAGCGTGTTGTAGGACACGACGTCGCATTCTTGCATTGCAGAAAAGGTGGCGCGCGCGTCGTCGAGCCGCGCATCGGCGAAACACCTGGCCAGAGCGATGTTGTTGTTGCGGACAAGGACTTCCATTGCGTTTTGTCCTTCATCAATCTTGGAAGAAAGAAGAGGAGCGTCGTTGTCTCGGCATTGCCTCGCTTTGTCCGTGCGAAAGAAGTTGTAAGATCACCGACAAGATTGAAAGACTTGGAAGATCACTGACAAGATTGAAAGACTTGTTGTTACCTTAGGAAGGGAGGTGCTGGCAGAGAAACGCATACAAATCCTTGTTTTCTGTTCCAAATATCTCGTCCGCTTTTCTCAAGGCATCCTGGCACACAACACGAACACAACCAGTCAGTGTATGCCACACCTTTTCTCTCTTTTTATTCCCCAGTTTGGTGGTACGTACCTCTCGCGTCCGCAGGTGGGAATTGAGCTCTTTGATAGTGTTTAGCAACGCACGGAACTGGTCGTAAGGAAGGCGGCTCCTGGAAAAAAAAGGAGAAAAAACAGCTCGTCTTCGTCTGAAAAATGGAAAGAAAAGACACTGTCTTACTTTGCTTGCCGAAAAAACTCCTTTCCATCGGCTTTCATCATCGAGGGGGCTGCGCAACAACTGGACGTGTTTAATGGCAAAGTTTCCAAAAGGACGAATACTTACAGCGAGGAGGAGAGCTAGGAGCTGTAGCAGCCTCGCTATATCGCGGTCTTTGTGGCGGTGTCGGTGCCGGAATCTTATGTTTCACGGGGGACCCTGTTGCCGACCGACTCTTGGGTGGGGATGTTTTGGGTGGACTTATCGGTGGTGTTAGTGCGATTCCTTCTTGAGATAGTGGAGCTGACAACCAAGCAAAACAAAGTCAACGCCACCCAAAGCTACAGGAGAACCAATTCAATAAAACTTACAATCTGATTCGTGATCAAACTGTCGTGGTACTGACAGAGCGCGAGTCTTGGCAAAGTCGGACATGGACCTTCTAGCCGGGCGCGCTTTAAGAAGAAGCATTCGCCTCCTGGCATCTTCCACGCTAGAAGATTGCATATCATCCTCCACTGGAAGTGAAAAATTAAGTATGATGCACTAGGCGAGTGGAGTGCAGCTCTTACCTTGCACTCTGTCGTAGCTTTGGGTTCTGATAGGTTCCTGAAGAGGTGATCTTGGGGAGTTGTCCATAGACATGGCTTTTTTAAGCCTGTTTTCTTGACTAAACGATTTTTCATCTGCGGTATCGAGTAGATGCTATAATGCCGCTGGTCAGGGTTTTTAGTATATACAAAGAGTGTCAACTTACAGGATTATCCAGCTGCAATGTATGGACCAATGACTTTCGAACAGACTCCATCTGCAGTCGACCACGATTACTTCGACACGATTTAGAAAGAGAGGATAGCTTGGACCTTGGAAACATCATGCCTCAATCTAGTGATGGTCCCTTGCAGCACTTCGTTTTCCTTGGATAGCCTTATCTACAAACACAGGCTCAAAGATCATCGCGAGAAGGAAACAATGCGAACCTGATCGTCTGTCGTTTTGAGGATGCGAATGTTTGCTCTTTGAATGGCTTGATCAGCATCGGTAATTCTGCGCTCGAGGTCCTCAATCAAATTGTCTTTCTCGTGAAGATTTTCCCGAATTCTACCCACGCGGTTTTCTAATTCCGACATTCTAGTAGCAAGAGCCATAGAGGCAATCTTCCTTGCCAGATCCAGCTGCTCATAGGGGTCGTCAGGGAGGACTCTCATCAAACTCTGAGGTAACCTGGCTTCCTCTTCACTCATATCTGGCACGATTCACTTCGTCCCGAGATGAGCCTCGTACAACTTTTCGGCTACACACAATGGAAGTGCAACTCAAAACCAGGAAAAGAATAAGCTCTACGTGGAAAAAGATATCACACCTTGGGAGTGTTTTCAGCCACAGGGCGTACTGGATCACAATGGCTACAGGAACCTGCAATTTCCTTACAGCCACCAGAACGCGTTAGCTTATCACTTGCTAGGCCCCACGAGTTGCCGAACTAGCTTCCAGCTTTATCGGACATTCTGATCTCTCTCTTTCTTTCTGGAAAGCAGAGTTATCAAATTGGGTTGGTACAGCCTTAACAATAGTACCTTGTATGCTGGCTAAACGGGATTTGAGAGCTAAAATACAATCCTGTAGCTGACGTTTTTCTTCCTCAAGAATCTCGAGGGGCCTGTCCAAACGTGTCGCTCTGTTATAAGATTATAAAAAAACAATCGAAGACTCACTCTAGCTTCCTCTTTGACTCCGCAACTTGCAGCTCCTTCTTTAGATTAGCAATGTCAATGAGCAAGCTGCAATTGTGATCTTGAGCTGCATCTACTTGTTGCTGTAACTCTGAGATGCACTTCAGCAGTGTCAGCAACACACACGCAAAAAGCACCTGACATAATCACCGTCATTCCGTCGGTTCTTCTCAGCGATCAAAGCTTCCCGAGACACGATTTCTTCATTCATGGTTCTGATGCTGCGACGGAGGTGGACCGAAGCAGCACTAAAAGCTTCGTCGTGCGCTTGCTGAAACTTCCTGCAGTGCGCTATAAATGTATCCCTGAGTCAGAGAAAAAGAAAAGAATTGAGGAAATCCATCATGACCATGACTCAAGCTACCGTTCTTCAGTGATCTTCTTTTTGAGCGCGTCCCTCGTAGACTTGAGCTTCGAAAGGTCGTGCATAGTTTCCTGGTTTACTTTCTCCAAGGCAACTAAGCGTCACTCAGCATAGCCACAGCCAAGCAACAAAAGACTAGGTACCTGATGTGGCGTGCAAGTCCGAGTACTCGTTCTCGCGAATCACGTAAGTCCTTAGAAGTTCTTTCTCATCCTTCACAGCTTCCTGGGTGTCCTCGGCACACCGGACTAGCTCTGATTCCAATCTTATCGTCTCACGGATCTCTAGCCCGACCCTGACGTTTAACTGCTCTAGAAAGTTAGAATGCGAGGCAACAGGCACGCATACCTGATCGATTTCTTGCTTCAAGCACAGAATCTGATTGAGAAACGATCCCTGGGGGTCCATCAAGAACGCTCAGCTCTTCGCGATGCTCCCACAGCCAGCCTCTCGACCGAAATTCCGGCAAATCCCGAGAAAAACTATCCCAGCGTGGAGAAGCGACGCGCATTCCAGCTCGATCCGCTAACAAACGCCAGCGCCAGCCCCTCGATCGAGGATTCCGCCCGGAGAGGCTGAAATTTCGAGAGAGATGTGTAAACCCTAGGCATAAACCCTAGCGTCTACAAATTCAAAAAACGCAACGTGTTCGATGGTTGAGAAAAGAAGTGAATGATGGGCAATAAAAAAGGTTTGCCATGTGCTCGCAAAATTACCATGTGAATCGCCCATCACCAGGCTTCGCGCCACGTGTTTGCTGCGATGGACGCCCCAGATGCTGCCATGTGCCGAGGGCAGACCGGGCAGACCGTGGCTCGCATATGAAAAGGCAGGTGCCCTACTCAGGCCTGCCCGCTGCCCGCCCTGCCCCTCCTGCCCGCGCTGCCCCTTTCTCCCGTCCCATTTTTTCTGAGTCGGGGAGAGGAGAGAGAGACGAACGAAAAAATAGAGAGCGAGTGCGAGAGCTTGAGCGCTCACCTAGGTCGAGCGCGAGCGAGCAAGGGACGCGATCGAGCGCCCGGCGGAGATTCTCCCAGCAGCGGCCAGCGCGCGGCTCCGAGAAATCGGGAGAAATCGAGGGAAGATTGCCTTGCTTTTCTTGTTTGGCACTCGCATGATCCATGGTAAGAAATCCTCGTCGATATTCCTGGGGTTTCTGTTGGATCTGGCAATTAATCGCTGCTCGGCCGGGCGCTGGAGCTCACAGGTTGGGGGAAATTCGAGAGGGGAAAATGCTCCATCAATCGTAGCTGGGATCTCTTCTTGCTGGCTAGCTGGTAGCACACAGGGGGCTTTTCGGCACTCGGCATCTCTAGCGCGCTCCAAGAGCTACAGCTTTTGCGGGTGGTGGACATATGGACGCACTGGCTCCTTCCAAAAGCACGGACGACGCATGCCCATGTAAGGGCGTGGGCGTGGACGTTCTTCCTTGCGAGAGCGCGGCAAGCGCGCTGAGGAGGAAGCGTATCGAGATTAGACGCATCAGGATTCTGGCCAATTCGGGGAATGGATTGTTCAAGCGCTCGAGGATTAACTTCCAGGGAGGAGGAGGTTTGTGCAAGGAGATGAAGAGCGAGGAGGAGGTGGTAGAACACAAGCAGCAGCAGCAGGGGCAAGAGCAGCAGCAGCAGCAGCAAAGCAAGGAGGAGGAGGAGCGAAAATGTAGCGAGGACATGCTACCATCTTTGCTCTCGAGCTCCTCCTCGAGCTCTGTGAGCTCCGAGGATTTGCCCAACCTTGGGTGTTGCTGCTCGTTGGGCCAGAGCTCCTGTCCGCCGTATGGAACAGTGTCAGTTTGCGGGAGGAGGCGAGAGATGGAGGACACTGTCGCCACCGAGCCGGATTTCCTGAGCTTGCCTTGCAGCCTCAATGGCTGCTCGGGAGCGTCAACTTCTTCCTCGTCGAGCTACCATTTCTTTGGAGTTTACGATGGTCACGGTGGATCACAGGTTAGTCTGGGATTTCCAAAGCTTCCTTTTGTTTCCTGTGCCGCGAGCTTACTAACTTCGCGTGTTTTTGTTGGATCTTCTCAGGCCGCAGCATATTGTCGAGACCGGCTCCACCGCGTTCTCGTGGACGAGATGAACAGACATAGGCAAGAGGAGACCAGTGATCCGGAGAAGCTGTGGGAGGAGGTCATGACCGGCTGCTTCCTCAAGGTGGACGAGCAAGTCCGGAGGCCCAGCTGCGGCGGCGACGCTTGCAGCAACTGCGCAGGAAACGGCTGCGACGTCCAGATTCCAGAGACCGTCGGCTCCACCGCCGTGGTGGCCGTGGTTGGCTGCAGCCAGATCGTGGTCGCAAACTGTGGAGACTGCCGGGCCGTGCTGTCCCGTGGCGGAAGAGCCATCCCCCTCACGGTCGATCACAAGGTAAAGTTCTTCTCTTCTTTCATAAGAACTTTGACGCGAATGTTTGTTTGTGTCTTCCTCCTCCACAGCCTAGCAGACCGGACGAGTTTGCTCGAGTGGAGGCTGCCGGGGGCCAAGTGATCAACTGGGACATCCCCCGGATTTTGGGAATTCTTGCAATGTCACGATCGATAGGTGAGTCTCTTGATAAGTCTCGCGTCCCTGTTTTTCTTTCCTCGCTTGCTTTTTAACACCGGAGCCGTGGCCTTTTCTTGTTTCTTCCTTTGGTGACAGGCGACCAATTCATGACTCCGTTCCTTATTGCAAACCCGGAAGTGACGTGCCTGCCTCGGCATGACAACGATGAGTGCCTCATTCTGGCGAGTGACGGGCTGTGGGACAAGGTCACGAACGAGGCCGCTTGCGACATAGCTCGAAAGTGCCTCTCGAGCCGCCGCCCCCCCCGCCGAGCAACGTCAAATATCTCGCGAACTTCCACCAGCTGTGAAGACGAGGACGACTCCCCGTGTGGCACGGCAGCCTCGCTCCTCCTCAAGGTCGCCTTGCACAATGGGAGCAAAGACAACATCACTGTGGTGGTGATTGATTTGAAGAGAAATTCTTCGTCGACAGCTTCCATGGGTGCTCCTCCGCCGACGAGGACGATGCCTCTTCCCACCTCCTCCACTCTTAGCTAGTATGGAAGCTACACCATTTCCAGCGAGAACACAAAAAAGAAGAAAAAAAGCTTGCTTGTTCTTTTCTTTTTCATGCTGTAAACCGGATCAAATTTTTAAATTTTTTCTTTGTAACTTTGGGAAGGAAAAAGTCCAACAAGGACCAATTTCCTTTCTTTACAAGAAAAAAAATCATCTTTTTTACTTTTCTTCCTCATCGAGATGGATAGATAGGCGAGAGGAAAAAAGTCTAGACTCTAAAGAACCATTGCCCATTCCTCTATGGAAAAAAAAGTAGCAGTAGATTATTCCTCTCGTGTTCATCATAAGAAAAAAAAAAGAATCTCATCTCAAAGAACCATGCAATGCAGCTGGACTCATTGGATTGATGAATCGACTTATTCCTCCAGCCTTCGAGACAACGAAGAACAAAGCTGTGATAAGAAGAAAAGATAATACCCATCGCCCATGCTGTGTGTCGCTCGCTCACTCGCTCGCTCGCTTCTCCACATCTCCTATAGCTTCCTCCCAAGCCTTCCCAGCCTCCTCGCGATCCCAAACAGTAACACCTTGCCCACCGCGCCCCTGTCCACGCCGCAGGCCAGCGCCACCGCGCCACCCAGGATGATCCATCTCCAAACGTTTTTCTTGTTCTCGGCCGACACCTCCTCCACGGCACTGCCGCTGCCGGCTTGGACTTCCAGCGTCGTGTCGGCGATCCCGAGCTCTCGAAACACGGACGCCGGAACCTTGGTGGTGATCTGTGCCATGAGCGCCGGCCGCGACAGGGGCTTGGCGCTCTTGCGGGAGGCCAAGTAGCTGTGAGCGCCAGGCTCCATGCCCTTGACGCATCCCCACATTCCCTGCCTGACGCCTAGCTTCGCCAGATCTTTTTGGATTCCCATCTCTTCCGAGTGGAACAGCAGCACCTCGCACGCGGTCAGCTGGGAATCGCCCTTCCGGGACTCCACTGCCAATTCAAGGAATGACACGTCCATGAGTCATACAAAACAAAAAGAAGAAGAAAAACTACCACTTTATACCTGCACGGATCCGGAAACTCGAGTAGAACACGTCTACACGTCGTGGCTTGTTTTTGCGGGGAACCTTGTCTGTTTCGACACCCTGTTAACCACAAAACAAAGCTGGCGAGTGAGCGACGCTGCCATGGGTAAATGATGCTTACCATTTGTAAACAGTAGTATGTGTTGCCGTGCTCCCAAATGCGCCTCCCAATCGTGTACTCACGGTCTTTACAAAAAAATGGGAACTGCATGGCAGAAGTTTGAGTTGTGGCACCCGAGTCGAGGAGATTTCCGTACCTTTCTAACCCAGTGTACTAGCATGTATCCGGTCTCGGGACACTCGTCGAGCGTCTTCGCGGAGAGAAGCATATCGTCCCACTCCACTCGGAACTCGTCGTCCCAAAAAAAATCTCTCATGAGCTGCGGCGTGATGCCCTCAATGACGGTTCTGCTCTTGTATTGCGTCGGGCCATTCTAGAGACAAGGAAAGAAAGAACATCAGACAAACGAAAAGAGAAAGCCAAGAGAAATCACTTACGGAAGGGTCGCGTCGCCAAGCTTGGTAAGCCATGCCTGTCGTGGAACGGTCCATCATCATCTGCCACGCCGGCCCTCCATCGCGCTCTTCGAGCAACAGCAAAAACTTTCTCAAATCTTCGTCGGAGACGGCACAGTTGGCTTGTTGTTGGTCACCCGGAGATGAACTGATGGAACAACAAAACTTCGCTATGAGAAAGAAAAGAAGGAACAAGCCGAAGTACCTTGACTGCGTCTCCTTGCCAGAAAAATCCGTCCTGGGCCACCTCCAGGCGCTGAATTTCAGCCAAAGTTCCTTGAGCATCGAGCAAGCTGTGACCGCCGTGATGGCCAGCCACAGCCGCCTCGCTCCCAGCCCTGGCGGCGTGCTCCACAGCAGCCTCGTCCGGCTCCTCAGCCCAAACACGAGGAAGCTTGCCCAGCGAGGCTTCCACGACCAGCCCAACACGATGCCAAACGCAATGGCGACCCAAATTGGCATCATCGCGGCCAGTAGATCTGCCATTGTTTCCAGAACCACGGGCTTCCCCAGGACGGAGAAATTGCCCTTGCTATCCAATTCCTCCATCTTCTTCCTCTTCTTCTTCGCTTAAATCCAGAAAGCCGAGCTCCTCCTCGTCATCACATTGCCCGCCGGATTGACCTTAAAGCTGCGAATCTCTCTCAAGTACCTGGATGCTTAGCTCGCCCCTCCAACAGTGGCGCCGCGCAGTGCGGTTGCGGCGTAGAAATCTACAGTAGCGCTGACAATCCTCACGGATTGTTCTCACTGAGCCCTAGAGAAGAAATCCGCGACCGCGAAACCGGATACGCAAACCCTAGCTCGTGCTGCGCTACAATGCGTCCACCGCCGACAATGGAGGGTCAAGAAATCTAGAGGACGAGAGATATTTCAAGATGGAAGAACCAATCGGATAAGAGAAGAAGAAGATAAGGCGCTAGACGCACATCTCAGTTCTTGCCGGAAGAGAAAGGGCGAAAAAAGGAGAGGAAGGGAAAATTTAAAGGAGGGTTTGTGTGGTCGACGTATAAAAAATGCCGAGCCTAGCTGGCGGAACACTTGTGGATATTCCTACCACGTGGCAGAATGTGAATGGCAGTATTTGATTCGGGCTATGGCGGCGAGACGCTCCATCCGGATTGGATTTAGGTGGCGACGCGATTACCACTCCTGTCACTATGGATTGCGATAAGCCAGTGATGTCGTCCACGTGGACACGCGGACGGCGGTGATTCTTATTATCTGAGCCGTTGATAGCGAAGAACCCTAAAATCGGTCTCTCACATTTGCTGTTGCTTCTGTTGATCTGGGGGATTTGCTTGCTGCTGCGGCTGCGGCTGCTGGTGAGAATGCGGCTGTGGATCGACTGGCATGGACGAAATCGGCCGCTCTTCTATGTGCTTGGGCTTGACGTCAATGCTCCTGCGAAGAAAGAGCTACCAAGAATCACTGGAATGCCCGGGATTGGGACGAAAGAGGCGATGGATGATCGAAATTTGCTGCGATCGGGGGAAGGGCGGGCTTACCTCGCAGCCTGGGAGGATTCGTGAGGGAGATCCTCCTCCAGCCATGTCTTGACTTGCTTGAGATTCCTGCGCAGCACCGCCGAGGACTTCACCACGTCGCCTCGCATCATCACGTACGCGGCGCCGATCGCCGCCAGCGTCATCACGAACGTCGACATCGCCATCGCGCCTCCACAAGAACCCTAGGATGCCCGATAAACCCTAGGCGAATATGCTAGCTCTTTTAAAAATCCTCTACTCTTCGTCTGATACATCAAAAGTAATCTTTTGGGCCTTTGGCGCATCGGCAGCGAGCTCTCTGAAGTGAGCTCCATACAATTTTGATTCCTGCGAAAGAAAAACTCGGTTTTCCATGGAAAGAATCGATCGGACAGAACAAATATACCTTCTTCTTAACGTGAGCGCCGAATTTGAGCAGCTCCTCCGGGACGATCTGACGAGCTTCTCTTAGAATGTTGACAAGCTCCCCAGCGCGAGCCTGAGAAGACAAGAATCAAAGTTTACTCGAGTTGTTCCTCCCAATAAGAAAAGTGCGTACCTTGTCAGCAGTGGTGAAGAAAGTGTGCGCGGTTCCTTTCTTTCCAGCTCTGCCTGTGCGACCAATGCGGTGCACATAGTCCTCGGTGGTGAGAGGAAAGCTGTAGTTTATCACGAACTCTACGTCTGGAATGTCGAGTCCTCTCGCAGCCACATCCGTGGCAATCTAAAAGCAAAGAAAAACTGTGAGCTGACAACGAGGATCGATGACTTTCTACCAGTAAAGGATGTGACCCGTCCTTGAACGCACTAAGAGCTTGATTTCGTGCCTGTTGAGACTTGTCGCCGTGTATGCCCGTCACATTCCAACCTCTATAGCACGAAAAACGTGGGAAGTCTTAGATCATACAAACAGTCACACCGTCCACTTACTGTTTCTGGAGAAAGTTTTCTACTCGGACCGCCTCCTTTTTGTACAGAACAAAAACCAGGACTCGATTCCTGTGTATCCAACGAGCACTCTAGTAAGAAAACAATATCAAAAAGCATCTCAAACCAGTTCACATCACCTCTTTGTTTTATGGTATAGCCGAAGCAATTCCTGTAAGCGTCTGTCCCGAGACTTATCGTCAAGCACCTACAAACAGTCTTTGTGAGCATCAATCTAAAGCCAGCCAACAAAACTAACCTCAACTATCTGCGTGACGTCATGATTAGCAGATAAATCTTCTGATCCTACAGTAATCTGGAGAAAACTTATAAGCTCCTGTGTGGTAAAAATAAACGCACCTTCACAGGACTCGCGTCCTGAATGAATTCCTGGGCAAGCTTTTGTACAGAAGTTGGCCAGGTTGCACTAAACATTATGGTTTGTCTTTCTGAAAGAAAAAAAGTAAGTGATAGCTTGAAAAGATTAAAACCTCCGTACCCTGGGGTATATGACTAACAATTGCTCGAACAGCAGGCTCAAAGCCAAGATCAAGCATGCGGTCAGCCTCATCTAGAACCTGCGAAACATAAGCACTTGAGAAATTGATGAACAATACTAACTACTTACCAAATAAGTAATTTGATCAAGCTTGCAAACGCCCTCATCAACGAAGTCTTGCAAGCGACCAGGTGTGGCAACAACGATATCCTGCACCGCAAATGACATGAATCAGAAAAATGTCACTGCCCATTGTTTGTTTGACAACTCACACAGCCAGATCTCAAAGAAGAATACTGTGGCCCTTTGGAACTCCCTCCATAAAGACATACAACTTTAACGCCGCAGCTGGCTCCAGCTTCCTCAAGAACGGCAGCAATCTTGAGACGTGATTATCACACATGTCAAGTTCGAAGGTTTGCCTTCTTCCTAAAAAAGACAAATCACTAACCTGTTGGGCCAGTTCTCGAGTTGGAGAGAGAACAAGGCAGCGTGATCCCTTTGAATGCTTCTTTTCTTTCTTTTTATGGTTGAGGATATGAACCAGAGCGGGAACACCAAAAGCTAAAGTTTTGCCTGGAACAAACCAGAAAGACAAAAAAAACATATAAAGATTTGATACATCTCCAAGAAACGAAACTTACCGGAGCCAGTAGCTGCGATTCCAATCAGATCTCTTCCATCGAGAAGAAACGGCCACGAGTGAGCTTGTATAGGAGACGGCTTCTCAAACCCGCTACAGCATTTCATCACGTCAGCAGGGAGCTTGGCTGCCGAGAAGGACTCGAGAGCTTGAAACTTTGCATTGGAGCTATCTCGTCCATTCAGACTGACTAGCAAGTCTTCCACTTTCTTTGGCTTCCCATTGCAAATTTCCTTGCTAGCAGCATCATCGACCTCGATTTGACGATCTCCCTTGTCTTTCTCCTTCTTTTCAGATTTTGGCTCGTACAATTCGTCACTGATCCCGTTAGAATTTCCCTTGATAGCCGCATTTTCGTTGTCAGCATGATCCCTCTTCTTCTCCTTCTTCTTCTTGCCAAATTTCGGCTCATCAGCCACTACATTCTCACCTTCCGGCTCACCGTCATCGTCGATTTTCTTCTTCCTCTTCTTCTTCTGCCGCAGCTCCGCATTCTCAATCCGACACCGATCACCATCGCAATCCTCCGCCGCCGCGCGATCGCTAGCAGCGCGATCGCTGGCGCGCTTCTTCCCCATGCTAAACCCTAGCCGAAATATTCCCAAACCCTAATTATCACTGACGTGGCAAATCTTTAAATGCCGAGCACTTTTAAGACAAAGCAATCTCTTCTAGGGCAGTGATTGGACCACGTCAAGCGAAGAACTAGGGTTAGAATGCATGGGTGGAGGAGGAATGAGCGATCTGGGAATGGCGCAGGGTCTGATGCGCCACATCTGCTTGCTGCCTCCTCTCAGCATCGTGGTCGCGCTGCTCGCGCTCTTAATGTCGCTCACTGTCACAGCGCTCTCGCGAAAGGTGAGTTCCAAGAGCAGCAATGTCGCTGCAGCATTAGTCCCGCCGGAGAAGGAGAGGGGCGGCGTCGAGCGAGAGGGCGATGCGGTGGATTGCATCGTGGTTGGAGCGGGGATCGCTGGGGCCGCCCTCGCGTACGCGCTTGGCAAGGTGATTCCTTTCCAGCTCTAAAAAAAATCTGTGTTTAACAGCCATTAACAGGATTCGCGAAGAGTTTTGTTGATCGAGAGGGATTGTTCCGAGCCGGATAGAATCGTTGGAGAGCTGCTACAACCCGGTGGCTATCTCAAGCTCGTGGAGCTTGGAATGAAAGGTACTGAGCTCATTCTTTTCTACTTTGTTTCTTTTGTTTCTCCTCTTTGCCTTGACTGAGTTTGCGATATTCTATACAGACTGTGTGGACGAGATAGAGGCGCAAAGAGTACACGGCTATGCACTCTTCAAAGATGGACGAGATGCCAAAGTCGGGTACCCCTTGAAAGGTCGCTCCGAGGATGTTGCCGGGAGGAGCTTCCATCATGGGCGATTTGTCCAGAGGCTGCGACAAAAGGCGGATTCGCTCCACACGTAAGTTTGTCCAAGTCTTTTTTATGTTGTCTGTGCATCACGTTTCCCATGTTTTTTCCTTGGCAGCGTTAAATTGGTTGAAGGAACAGTTTTGTCGTTGATAGAGGGCGATGGAATCGTGAAGGGGGTACGATACAGAGTAAAGAAGGAGGACGGAGTACAAGTGGTCGAAGCCTATGCGCCTATTACTTTCGTCTGCGATGGATACTCTTCTAACTTGAGGAAAAATCTTTGCACGCCAAAGGTAAGTTTGGAGTTTTTCCGTAAGCGTCTCGTCTAAATGCGAAGCACTTGTGTGTCTGTTTTCTGTGCAGGTTGACGTGCCATCGCATTTCGTCGGTTTGATACTTGAGAACTGCCACCTTCCATACTCGAATTTTGGTCATGTCGTTCTGGCGAATCCCTCGCCGATTCTGTTCTATCCAATCAGCAACACTGAGATTCGGTGCCTGGTGGACTGCCCCAAGGAAGTCATGCAATCAGTTAGAAGTGGAAAGATGGCTCACCATCTCATAAACAACGTTGCTCCTCAGGTACGTTCTCGGTTTTCAGTCCAAACTCGTCTTGGTATTTAGTATTTTTGCACAGCTCCCTGTCCAGCTCCGAGACTCTTTCATTGCCGCTGCAAGTGACACAACCAAGATCCGCAGCATGGAAAACAAGATCATGCCCGCTGTCCCCATTCCGAAACCGGGCGCATTACTCTTGGGCGATGCTTTCAACATGCGTCATCCACTAACGGGAGGTGGAATGACGGTCGCGTTATCCGACGTTGTGCTTCTCAGAGACATGTTGCGGCCGGTGGTAAGCTTTAAAGACCAAGCTGCCGTTTGCAGTTACCTCCAAGCCTTTTACACGAGACGAAAGGTAACGGTGTTCTCTCAAAAACTAACTTTTCTACTCGTACTTAAAGCCATCGATCGTCTTGCAGCCTGTTGCATCGACGATAAACACTCTAGCCGGTGCTCTTTACAGAGTTTTCTGCGCGTCGCCCGACGTTGCAATGACCGAGATGACACAGGCATGCTTCGACTACTTAAGCCTGGGAGGAGTTTTCTCGAGCGGTCCAGTGGCTCTACTCTCGGGCTTGAATCCTCGTCCTCTCAGCCTCGTCGCTCACTTCTTCGCAGTGGCCTTCTTTGGAGTGGGCCGCCTTCTACTGCGGTATCCATCTCCGAAAAACTTCTGGGTGGCCTTCCGGCTCGTCAAGGTACACAAAACTTAAAAGAGAACTTTGCAAGCTCGTCTCTTACAGTCATAGATTTAATTTACAGGGAGCGGCAAGCATCATCTTCCCGATCATACAAGCCGAGGGCGTCGTCCAAATGTTCTTCCCGTGGATCATGACGCTGTTCTACCGCTCGCCTCTCCATGTGTAATAAAACATTTCTCGCGACGTTGCACGGTATGTAAGACGTATGCTCTATAAGTATAAAATCATCGCATTTTATTGAGGACAATCCCGCTTCCATGCGTCCCAAGAATCATAGTCTTCCTTCCTCGCAACACAAGAGGCAATCTTTTTTTTTTCTTCGTCTCCAAGAGCTCCTCCCTTGTCTCGCTTATTCCCCCAAAAATCAGCCATTGTAGTAGAAACCAAAAAGAAGAAAAAACTCCCAGTCTCCCCCCTATGCTACCTTCGAAACTATGATACATGTTTGCCTCAAGTATGTTAGTGTCCCTCCCCGTCCTGTCCTCCTGTTCTTCTATCTCCTCCATCTCTTCTAGCTCGAGAGAAAAAAAAAAGAGAAATTCTATCACCCTGTTCTCCTGTTCTTCATGGTTGTCATCATTATCCCCCCGGCTCAAGAGCACCTGTTTAAAAAATCCTGGACGCTTTTCAACCCCTCGGCCGAGAAGCTCCTGCGTATTCTCGTGTCCGACGAGAGCCGGGGCGGGCAGTCGGCGTGGAAGCACACCGTCACCACCGTCAAGTTGTCGCTCGTGTTGCGCCGCAGCGCCTCCGCCACCAGCTGCTTGGAGCACAGGTCCGGATCGTTGTGCTGCTGCAGCTCCTTCCTGGCCAGATCGATGGCGTTCTGGCTCGTGAAAACGTCCCAAAGCCCGTCGCAGCCGATGATGAGGAACTCGTCCTCCTCGGTGAGGATGGCCTGGCGGAGCTCCGGCTCCGAGATGAGCGGACCCCCGACCTTCAAGTCCTTCATATGCCAGTCCCCCAGAGCTCGGGCCACCGCGAGCTGGCCGTTGAGGTAGCCATCGTCGACGAAGCCACCCAAGGCTTCTATCCTTGTCCGCTCCACCACCGGCTTGTGGTCCCGTGACATCTCCACGGCCTTGCCTCGTCTTGACAGCACAGCTCTGGAGTCGCCCACATTCGCAACTAGAAGTCTCCTGCCAGGAAGAAAAGAAGAAAAAAAACAAAAAGAAAAGTGGTACGCGTGTCAGGAACTAAACATCTGGAAGCCTCTGGAGAGAAAAGAAAAAGGAAAAAAACGCGGCGAACCTTCCAATCACGAAAGCAGTGAGAGCAGTGGTTCCAGATTGCAGCTGCTCGTCTAGAAGGCAGGCCTCAGCGAACGCGTGGTCTGTCTGATAAAAGCCATGACGTACAGCATCCTCCAAGCACGCAGGGAAGGACACGTCTCTCAGAATGTATCCAAGGAGGTGCTCCCTTACGAACAGTGCGGCATCTTTGCCACAGTGACCATCAAACACCTACATCCCAGAAAACAAAACCAAGGAAAATGAGCACACCGAATAGCAAGAACAAACGAAAGCGAAGAAACTCACTCCATAGAACGCCCCAGAAGCATCGCCCATAGGCCCCAAATCGTCCACTCTAACATGCGCGTCTTCCATAAGTCCCCGCCCCCCAATATCAGTCCATTCCCCAGACCGGATCATCGGCACGAAGATGGCGATCTCCTCCTCCTTCTGGTCAGAAGTCTCCTCCACCTTACGAGCAAGCCGCAAAGAAGGAAAAAACCAAAGAGCGGCAATTCTAAGAAACCATAGACCCATTTGCTCGAGAGAAACTTACCACTTCCGACATAGCTAACCTCACCGTGCTCACGCACTTGCAAACCGTAGATCCCGCCCCGGCGCTCCCCACACTGGCGGTGGTAGTGGTGGTAGTGGCCGTCAGGCACGCTGTAATTGTGGCCGTGTACACCGGCTTGGGCGGCTTCGCAATGGGATCGCTGGATGCGCCGGCCGCCCCTCCTCCAGCAGGGAGCTGCTCCAGCGCCCCCACAGGCTGTGATATGTCTGCCCCTGCCGCCATAGCTCGATCGAATGCGCCACCGATCGCTGCTCGGTATGAGCCAGACTTGCAATCCAATTGATCGCTCGATTCACAATCCCTGCACCGCTGCGCAGAGAAATCACTCCTCAGTGCTCGCTGTTCACTGCTCGTCCGCGCTACTGCTGCTTCGCTACTCGCTGCTACTCGTCTTCGTCACGCAAACCCTAGAAACCCTAACCCTACAAAAGGGGTATCAGAAAATATATATTTTGGTGGAAAGGGCAAAAAAACACGTTGCCAGGTCAGCCTGGCGCCATGCCCTAATGGCAGATATTTAATGCACGGCCGCTGACCGCCGTCGGATACGCACGGCTGGATGGGACGTAGTATATTCGCATTAAAGATTTTATCAACAAAATTGAGTGCCTGGTTTGAAGTCCGTGTGCGTGTGAACGAGCGTGTCCTCCCTTTCACTGTTGTGGAGCATTCCCTGACGATGATGGCGCACTAGCCGCCTCGACCGCTGTTACGTCGTCCTGGATCACTCCAAGCAATACCAGCGACGACCTTCGAGACACACCGACAAAAGTTAGACCGAAAGTCTAGATCGAAAGTTTAAACCAAAAAGAGAAGATTTTTTCCTTTTCTTACCTGGGAACAGAGGACCGGACACCCGGCTGGCTCGCATGCGCGGCCAACGGCGTTTTCAACGTTGGATGCTTCACGAGAGCGTTCTCGAGCTGCGCGGTTGGAAGCTTCACGTAATAAAAGAATCAGCGTGTTATTTACAATTGCGAGTGATAACAGTAGTACCTGTAGCAAGACACGAAAGGAATGCGGTGTGGTTTCGCTCGCGCACTTGAGGAATCCAACCCATAATTGAGGAGTCTTCCAGATCTGGGAACGCGATATGCCAGTAAGAAAACTAAATTAAACACGTTCGAAGAAGAAGGCGAAGGAACGCGAGAGAAGTACCTGCTTGTTGACAAGTCTGAGTAGAATATCCATGACGAAACCCACCTGTCGGGACGTAGAAGATTTTCAGGCAATGACGTAAACGCATGGAAAACCATACCAAAGACCGAAACGTTCCAACAGCTTGAATGACAGTTCGCATGAACAGCTTTGGAAGAGGTGTTTGTTCCACCTGATCAAGTTTCCAAAATGTTACGTAATGGAAGATACGAACCAGAGGCCTTACCAACTGATTCAAGACTTTCGCTAAAACGTCCTGATTGAAGACATTTCGCTGTTGCAAGCATGCCGAGCAAGCTTCCGTGACCTGAAAATCATAGATATGTAACCTTCCTGGTGGAGAAAAGAAACAAATACCTTCTTCAAAGGAACTGCATCACGTTGCTGATCTATACCGTGAAGAGCAATGAGCACTTCGGCAGGTGTCAAAGCAGGACCTGTGTGCGCAGAGCCCTGCCATTTCCAACGCTTATGAAATGCCAACCAAGCCAATCAATCGCTACAGCCTACCTGCAAGATACGCGCCAGTGCAACTTGAAACTTGTCCGGTGGTAGATCAACCAATCGCGGAAAAATTGGAAGAACCTGAACCATTTCCCAGTCAGTAATTTGCGATACAAAACTTCGCCACAAGCAAACCTCTTCTTTTGAAAGTGACGACAAGATTGGAATCAGAAATACCGCGTCCTGCACAAGAACATATTTAACTAGCTGATTGATTTCCAGACAGTCACCTTTATCCTGGTCTCGTGGAGCTGTTTTATCGTTTTGATAAGTTCCGGCGATGGTGTGGTTCCTTCAGTCAAAACATGTAGGACCTATTCATGCAAAACGTAAAAAATGCCAGCCATGATCGGCGAGTCATCCATTACCTGTAGTAACAAGTTTTCGCAGCCCTGTGGAGGAGCGGAGATGATACTTAGTAGTTCTGGGGAAGATTGTCCGACCGTCCGGACTAGAACAGGTATTTGCCGATGAATTGCTTGCTTAACTGGCTTTGGTGCTCGATCGTATACATTGAATAGCTCGCCCAAAAGAGCATGTTTCTGCAGGTAAGTTTACATGTAATAAACAGACACTGGACATGAAATAACTGACCTTGGTACAAAGAGCAAAATAAAGTGACATACAACGTTGGGCTTCCGCTTTGGTTCCCCCGCCGTCGGCTGCATTCGCTTCTTGATCGCCGGGAGCAACTTCCTGTTACGAAAGACACAGCACCTTTAAGATTCCAGTCATGTTTACAAAAAAACAGAAGCACCTGTAGCGTGCTCCGTTCCTGAGCTTCACTGTCTACATTATGTCCTCCGACATTTACAACAGATAATAGCATTTTAGTGGCAAACTCTTCAATTTTTTGTGAAATGAAGGTCACAGGGTACAGTTTATTTGCAACCTGAAGGCACCCAAAGTTCAATTCGTGACATGATATTTACTTGGAAGCTTACCAAACGAATGGCCTTTGTTCGAGCGTCATCGACCTCGTGAACAGCGCACTGCAAAATGAAAACGATGGTCACGGACGCTTCCAGGCCAAAACACCAAAAACAAAATACCTCTAAAGCCATATTTAAACACCTCTCCCGAACTGCCGGACGTTGCAAGATGAGACTCCACAAAGCGCTTAAGCCCTGTGTAACGCGATCACCATTGGGCTCATTGATCGGATTACAAAGACTTTCTAAGAGCGCAAATGCTCCCTCCGGAAACAACGGGATCTCGCACAACAGCTTGCTCAAAGACTTGTCTGACGGAGGTAGCGAATCTTTCAACCCCTGGCTCTGTTTGAAGACAACGTTGTCAAATTTCTTGCATGAATATAAGCTTACCAAAGATACAAAAAAGTTTTCGTATTTCTCTATACTATCTCCACCAGCTATGTGCATCAGGTACAGTTCATAGAAAACGTGTAGCGCAAGTTCATGACCCTGAAAGACATAGACGTGACTACAATCACTTTTATCTGCACTTACGTACCATATGATTCGCATAGTCCGCAAGTATGTGCTTTTGTAAAGTATTCAAAGCCTCAGCCGACTGAAGGAAAAAAGTAGATTAGTTTACAACAGTTTTCACGAAATACGAAATACTTGCCTGCGCAGTCAGACGCGCTAATAACGCGATCCTCAAACCACCACCCCCAGCGGCCGAGACTGCTTTGCTTCCTTCTAATATGCGTGTCAACGCAGAGTTTCCAAGAGTCGCCCGTTGCTCATTACTTAACGTCACCACAGGAAGGAAGCTGGACAAACCAGCCCCGGAAGCTCCTGCTTCTTGTCTATCGTCAAGGGCATCACTAGAAGGATACAGTGCACCATACATCGTTGAGATGGTCCGAATCCCCATATCCTCGTCCGGCTCTGACTTTACGTGCGTAAACGTCGGTTCCATTTTCACGGACGTAGCTTTCAAGGAAGCTCTTGGATCCCTGCTGTTCATTACAGGCGGAGACACGGGCTCTGCCTTCACAGTTCTGAAAACAGGAGGCACTCCTGGCTGCTGTAAGTCCTCCTGCTTTGGTATCACCATTGGAGGACCTGGTGATGGTAAGCGACGGGGATCCATACGGGGATCCATACGGCGGGGATCCTACACCAAAGAAAAAAAAGTAGAGATTTAGTATCAAGTAGCAAAGAGTCATTCTCACCCTTCGTGGATCTCGCCTGCCATCCATAGCCACGGGCTCGATAGGTGGCGGCGGCGGAGGCGGCGGCAATAGCTGCGGCTTGTCCATGAAGTCCGCCGGAACAGACGGTGGAAGGTTTTGCATGTTGACAATCACGACATCAGCCAGAGTATCGGGAGGGAGCCTCGACATGAGCAAATCGATCGAAGCGATTTCTCCTTTGGCCGCAAGTGCCTCAAACATCTGTATCATCTGCTGTATGGGAGGTAGACCCGCTCCATTCGCGTATCCGGGTGCATCCGGGTGAAAATGCTGCTGAACCGGGGGCGGCGGAGTAGTCCGCAAGCGTTTTCCATAGCTTTCTTCGTCATTGCCATTTTCTTGCGGTGGGGGTCTCTTGTTTCGTGGATCCTGTCTCTCTTCCTACAAATACACACATCGTTACAGGAGGAAAAAGAAATGGCTTATTCGGCACTTTTACTCGGTTGGAGCGGGAACTCGACTCTCTCGACTCTCTCTCGCCACCCCTGCTGCTTCTCTCGACTGCCAAGTCTGCAACGTCTCCGGCATTCATCTGGCGCAGTGCCGAAGTGAGACGATCGCGCCACTGCCAAGAATAACGAAGTTACAAAGGAAGAAGTGACAATAAAAACTGCATACCGGTGCTGCCGCAGGATACGTGCATTTTAGAAGCTGGACAAAGGCATTCTTCAAGGCAGTAACCACGCTGGCCACTTGACCACCTTTGATCGCTTCACAACTTGGTCCCAGTGAAAGTAACACAGGAAGGATGCGTCCGTAAAACGACGGTCTTCGTTTCGCAATGGCTGCCAAGCTGCTCATTCCCTTCCCAAATAAGAATCCACTCAATTGACGTTTTGAAAGCTTGAAAACTAAAGTACCTATTCACGATGACAATGGCGACGGGACCCGGAAGAGCCGAAACGTCAGGTTGCCGCAGCTGGTTCAGCAACAATCCCAACGATTTGCTCGCCTCTTGACCCATGGCTGTGGCATCTAAGAGTGGATGGCCAGACACTATCCAAGACACATTTATCCCTTTTGACGTTCCTGAAACGAAAACACCAGAAAAAATCCGTAACTGCGACATTTCAATATGTGTACTACCATCGAGTCGATCAGGTAGCGGTGGCTGCGAAGGACCACTAGGGTCTGGAGTGAAGAGCAAAATCACAGTCTCGATAAACTTCACAGCGTGCAAACGTACCCCGTCGTTGCCATGCTAGTACAAAAACTTACTTCAGAAAAACGCAAGACACACCTCTCGTTTCTTCCCATACCTGCTGAGCAAAGGGATACACAAACTCCTTGAACTGAAGAACTGAAATCCAAGAATCTTGCATGAACTTATCCACTTGCCTCGTATAAATTCCCTGAAAAAAGAATAGCACAAGAAACCATCAGAAACTCTTCTTCTGTTTCACCAAGAACAGGAGCCATACCTTCAACAAGACATACTCCAAGGTGTGGCGAAACAAATTGGTACCAGCAGTGATAGCACGCCGAGCAAAGGCCGGCTCGCCCCGGAGCAATGTCAAGAGCACTGGCATCATCACCGGAACATACTCCACTTGCCTGAGCCCGACCTCCTCGATGATCCTGGGAGCAAGAAAGATCACCCTACATTGTGAGCCGCGCGGCTAGATTAGGTCAGGAGAGGAGGAACTCACTCGACAAGAAAGTTGCGGATGGCGCTGGCGCGATCGTTGCGCAGCTCCAGCAGCACGGGCAGGAGCTCCGGGAGAAGCCGCGGCTCCCTGTGAAGCGCCAGCTCCCTGAGCTCCCGGAGAGAATCGAGCTTGGCCGCGGCGTCGGGATGCAATTGGGCGTCGTGGAGGAGCGCCACGGCGCGCTCGCGGGCCTCGGGAGGCACCGCCATCATCGCTGCCATTGAGCCGGCGCTCACAAAAACCCTACAATTTGCTCTCTTTTTAACTGCGCATTGGTGTGTTACTTCTTGGACCCTGTTCTTCTCTACCGCGTAATTCCCGCATCCATGCCCTACCCAAAAGATGAACCGCGATCTCAATGTGTCCGCTGCTCAATCGATGCAAATCAGATTGCCGCCATATCCAATTGAAGCCCTAGAGCTTGTGCTACCATATATCCATCACTTTTGTAAATCTTTGCAGCAAATCCTATACGTCCAGTTTGAATTGGGTTTAAGGTGAGGCCATCGTAGCCGTCGAGTACAAGACAATATGCATGCTCATACAAATAATGCTTAGTTGTGTTATCGATTTCTTCCGAGATTCTGATACATATGTATTGCAACTCTTCTTGCCAAGTCTGAGAAGAACACATCAAAAAGAGTACTAAAGGAAAGCACGGATTGGAACACATCGATCGATCCTCTATAAGATCATTCGCTCGACATTGATCGAGCGACTTGCCTTTTAATCGGTTTACCTTAATCGAGACACCTAACCTCAAGGAAATCTTTCTAACAAATTCTGTACGTCCATTTTGAATGGGTATAAGACGAGGCCATCGTAGCCGTCGGGTTATCCTTATGGATCGATTTCTTCCGAGATTCTGGCGCCTCCCAAACATATGTATTGCAATTCTTCTTGCCAAGTCTAAAACGAGCGAACGAATCAAGATAGAGTGCTAGAAGAAGGCTTGCTTCACCTCGTATCGAAACTCTACACGGATATGAGGTACATTGGTTTTGTGGATGTCGTTCCCCGCAGCTCCCCGTTTGAAGTATTTGTGTCCAATCCAATGAAGCTGGAGAGCACCAAGTTATGCTTGACAAAACGTGGAAAAAGAGAGACCTTCATGTGATGAGGAAAACCCGACTGATAGACGGAGTTTCTTGCGATTTCGCACAGGTCGCAGGAACTCAGCTTCCAGACCTGAGACACAAATGAGAACTTAAGCTTGAGATCGTCTTTAGAGCGTACCTGAGCGGCAATGCTGTATTCCTCCACTAGTGGTTCTTTAGTAAGATGTATTTGAAGTGGATCATCCGTTGACAGGGAAACATTGAGACCTCGTGAAAAAAACATAGGAAAAGGATTACGGTGGTAATCCAAAAACAAAGAGTTGTTGCTCAAGGGAGACATAGCCAGACCAATCTGGCAAACGAACCACAAGAAAAAGGTGAGTTTAAAGTGCGGGACGAAAAAACAAACATGATAAAACCTGGGCGAGGTAATAAAGATACTGAAGTCCAGGAGATTTTCTGAGGTTGTTTCCATGAGCGATGTTGTGAGCCAGTAAAAACGTGGACGCCAAGTGATCCAAATCTCCTGCCTCTCCGGAATGAGGCCGAAACTTAATTGTGCACAAACCTTTGGACTCACGGAGCTGCCAACACAGAACTACAAGAATCATCCATGAACTGTTCTTGAAAGTTTCTACCTTGTTTAAAGTGTACATGTTGGCGTAAATGTAGTACGCCCAATACGAGTAGGCCGGATTAAAGTTGATATCCCACTGTGCAGGAGTTTGCATATGTTTATTTGGACGACGCTCTGGCTTACTCTCGTCGTCAACCATATCGAATGCTACCACCTACACACCGTGATAAAACGACGAGAGAAACAATCAAGAGATTACCTGTTTCAAAAATATGTGTAGCTGCGGATGCGAACCAGGATCAATCGTGACTTCAAATAATGGAAGAAATAAATTGTTCAATATGGTTTGAAAGGATGTAACAATGCCCATCATCTTGTAAAATATGTAGAGTCGAGGAACCTGTATCACACAGCGTGGCGTGTCAGTAAGACCAACTTAAGGAAATCGGACTACCTACTTGAACAAGCCATACAACGTTTTCGCTGTAAAGCTCGTTATTTACAATCCAGCTTGCTAGTTGATCCCACTCACTTTGCTTTCTTCCATATACGGATATCCTGTACTCCGCCATCTGCAGGATTTAAGTTCCACCAGAATGGAATAGCTGCCACTTTAAATGATACCTGGTACTTGCTGACAGCAAGATCCTGAAAAACTTCTTTTGTTAGCTCCGCCAAGAAGCGCCCTGAGCAGTGCATGGATTGTATATGAAAAGCTTACTGATTTCAAAAGATACCCTGGATAAGATTGTCCTGCTTCAGAAAGATCTCTCTAAGCCGGCTTTGACCACAAGGATTGTACTTAAGATTGAATTTGTCGAAGCGATGAAACGTATTTTTATCAGCATGGACGTCAAGCAAATCCACATTCAGGTCGTACCTAGCAATACCAAAATTACACCAATTCTTCTTCAATGTATCGCCGCTAAAACATACCCTGTTAAGTCCAAGCTTTCGAAGACTTCCTTAAGAGTAAGATATTGGCCATCCCGAAAGATAACAACCTGACTTGGCAAGAAACATTGAGTGTAAACATATAGAAGCTTTTAGATTGTAAGTCACCTCGTCGGGTTCATTTCTCAGCTTTGACTTTATAAATCGCAAAAGATGCTTTTGGTTCATACAAGATGAATGATGGACGTGAGTGTCAACCTTCCTGACGTTGTAAAAATCTCGATGAGGGGCACTCTTCTGAGCAAGAAACTCTCTGTCCGCATTAAGCATGAGATGAAGGCTAAATTTCTGCAGTAAGGAGATTCAGATGTTAGATGTTTCTCAGAAGTGCAAGGATACGATCTACCTGTTCCAAAAGATGTAACCGATGGTAACAGAAGGTTCGCACATTTCCTAGTCCTGTAAGTCTAAGTATTCGGTGCATGTCCGTAAAGAATGTAGTTGCGTCAGGAACGGGAAACAACTCCTCCTTTGCTGAAAACACCACTTTAGAAGTTTTCATGGTAGCAAGGACATACCTTCTGAATTTGCATAAACATGTATAACACCATCTATCTCTTTAAAAACATGCTGGATGTTAGCTATGTTGGTTAGTCAAAGCTCATTTAAAAAAGAGGGCAAACCTGCGATCGAGGTTCTGGTTCGTAGTGGAAAGGATCTGGATTAAATCCTGATGCACAAAACATTCCTTTCCGCCATGGTGGATCCTTTTCCACAAATAAATATTTTTCTCTTAGAGCCAAACACTGCTGTAGCACAATGCAAACTTCCTCTTCTTCGGCTGTAGGCGGGTCTGATACATAACATATGTGACAGGAGGAGTCAGAAACGATGATGAGGATTATACGTACCATAAGGTGTGACTTTCATGCGAACAAACGTTTCTTGTTGTGGCTCCTTTCTTAGAATGTCAGCAGCCACAGGATCAGGCGCTCCGAGAAGCCCGTCTGCAAGACTATGCGGCCTAGCTGAATGTGTCTCAGACTTCTCAGTTTGTTGCTCTAATGATGCGACCAAGCATTCCAAGCTCGGAGAATGTGATAGTCCAAAGCTTTTTGGATCGTCATCCTGCAAAACGATGACACTCATTCGACCAATCAGAACACACAAACAAGAGCAAAGCATACCAGAATTTTCATGTCATCAGCCACTGTAACGTACCATCCTCAACAATGGCTCCTCAAAGCATTCATTGGCTACAGCTTCCTCGATTGCACAAATTTCATCGACAAGAACAGCGTCTTCTTTGTCATTCAACATATCCACATCCTCATCCGATCCATCCATATCAAAAAGTCCAGACTTAGGAGGAGAGGATGGTCTCAAGTGTGCAGTTCTCCTGTTTGATGCGGAATGATTGAAAGTTTGGCCACTTTCTGCTAGAAAATCCCAGAAAATTATAAATTCGAGCAGATGAATATCACCTTCGAGACGAGTGCGAACTTTCGGCAAGACAGGAAACACTTGCGATTTATCGTCCTCCTGGTCACGATCAGAAGGCAAAGAAGTCGACTTGGATCTCGACTTGCAACTCAGTGACGATGTTCTTCCACTTTCCACAGTCTTTCCAGCTTCACTAGCAGCTGAATCCTTCAAGTTCTTCGCATTTTCTACTGGAGCCGCGCTTTCCTCCTGCTGGACCTCCGCAGCCTGCGAGCTGCTACCAGGCACTAGCTTCTCCTCCTCCCCGGAAGCCTTCCCATTCTCGGACCACCAAATCTCCACAGGACTGGCATGCCTCACGTCCTGGTGAGGCGGCACGGAATGGCCCCTTCGCAAGAGCGGCGGCTTCTTTAACTTGCTCCTCCTATTTCCCTTTTCTTCTATGATTTCCCTCTCCATACCTTCCGTGAGCTTGCGCAATCGCTGCTCCAGCACTCGCTCCACGACGCGCCTGTGCATCCATAGCGCCGAAATCGCCACGGATCCGGCGCCTAGAAATGCCGCCGCGACGATCGAGAGCCACGACGGCGCCTGCTGGGCGCCATCGTCCATCCTCTGGAGCCCTAGAAAAACTGCCCCGGCTTCATCCTTCACAAGAACGGGAAGGCAAAGCGGATAATAGCAGCTCCCGGATTCGACCACGTGGACGCCCTAGATCGGACGGTCCGCCTTGAGATTATTCTTCTTTGTTGCTCGTCGCGATCAGCTGCGCTGGATCGATCGATTACCAGAAAATATTTGAAGCTGGATCGGATGAATCGCTGGCGCTGCAATCGATCGCCTTTTTCTGTTGCTGGAATGTAGAAAAAGTAGGGTTCTTCTGGAGTTTCTGGTGATTCTACCAAGAAAATGGGCGCATTGAATGAAGATGCGCTCCCGCGATCAATGCAGCCGAGGCGCCGCGACAAGGTGATTCTCGATAATCTCCACGGTAACACTTACGTGGATCCGGTAAGAATTTCCAAAACGCTCTTGCATGCGATTGATCGATTGCTACTATTTCCCTTTCTTTCTCTCGTAGCTAAGCTTGAAATTCGTGGATTCGCTACAATTCCAGAGGCTGCGTGATATCAAGCAACTTGGTATGGATCGGGGCTCTTCACTTTCTCTATTTCTTTGTCTCAGGACTTTGCTACTTGGTCTACCCTGGCGCATCGCACTCGAGGTTTGAGCATTCTTTGGGTGTTTACAAACTCGCTCGCATGACAGTCGAAAATCTCGCGAAGAACGTACGCGTTATCTTTTTTCGTGCTCTAGTTTTTCCCCTTGATAACCGAGTTTTTCAGCCAGAGTTGAGGATCACCACCTCTGATATCACGATTGTGAGCTTGGCAGGTTCTCTTTTCCAAAACTTATGAATGGCTAAAAGCTTCCTCTCAGGCCTACTTCACGATGTTGGACATGGTCCCTTCAGTCATGTCTTTGACAACGAGTTCCTTCCTCGGATTATGCCAGGACACAAGTGGTGCGAGAACTTCGGTCTTTTAACATGGTGATATATATATATAAGGGCGATGCAGGTCTCACGAGGACATGTCAACGAGGATGATCGACTACATAGTGGATGTGAATCACATCGACATTAGTTCCACTGATCTTAAGCGAGTCAAGGTAACAGACCAAGCTGTTTTTCTTTCTTACTCTCACGGCGTTCGATCACATTTTGCAGGATATGATCTTATGTAGCAAGAACCCTTCGCTGATTGAGGTTTGAAAAGTTCTTAAACCAAGGCCTGACTTGTATCTTTGTAGGAATACAACGAGAAAACCTTTCTCTTTGACATCGTGGCTAACGGACGCAACTCCATTGACGTGGATAAGTACGAGTATTTTATCATCACCGCATTGTTTATAGTTTCTGTGTAGGTTTGACTACATTCTTCGAGACTCTCGTGCATGCGGTATAACTTCGAACTTTACGCTCGGCAGGTAATTGCCGCATTTCATTTTCACTGGCTGTCTTGGTGAGGCGAATTTTTTCTTTCTTTTCCAGGCTGATGGACAATATTAAAGTCATCGACAACGAGATTTGCTACCTTGCAACTGATGGTGAGGAAACCAACCCAGCTATGTTTGTCTTACAAGTTTATTCCAGCCATGGAAGTGTGGAATCTGTTTCGAACGAGAGCAGATCTTTTCCGAAAAATCTATACTCATCGGAAAGTCAAGGTACGTCGGTTTTGTCTTGTCCATCTCATCCTTCTTTTGGACAGGCTTTAGAGCTTATGCTCGCGGATGTGCTGGTACTCTCTGACGACTATCTGGGAATATCGGCAGGAGTTTTTGACCCAGAACAATTCTGGAAGGTAAACTTATCCGTGTTTTGCATTTGCTTAGCTTGGCTTTGAGTTTCAGATGGACGACTCTCTTCTGAAAGCGATCGAGACTTCAGATGTGGATGAGCTCAAGGAAGCGAGAGAACTGGTCTGGCGAATGAAGAGATGTGGTCAAGGACTCTATCAGGTTCCAAAAACTTTCGTGCTTTGTTCCCTCTAAGTTCTTTTAACATGTAGTTTTGTAACGAGTACCTTGTTCCAAAGGAAAAAACTGAACATTTCAAAGACGTCACTGCCAAAGACATTGTTTGCTGCGGGGTACGTAGCTTGTATGCCACTTGTCATAATCTACTTTCCATGCAGAAATCTGGGGCAAAAATTTCTGAGGATGACATTGTCGTTAGCAACGTGAAGATAGACCTTGCTTGTGGAAAGCCCGATCCTTTATCTGGGTAAAACTAGTAACTTATTTTTCTCCGTAGGCCTCGTACTTACTTGGTGTGGCTCTGTATACAGGGTGCACTTTTTCAAGGTAACAGACAATGGCTACTGAATTGCAGGGGCTATTTTGACGTTTTTCAAACAGGAGTTTGACGACTCTGTCAAGTTTACGGTGGACAGACAGAACTTGAGCGGGTTTTATTCTGATCACTGCGTGGACAGGATTGTTCGCGTATATGCCAAAAAACCAGAGCTCGTAAGTTTACGTGATCGCTCAGCCCAAGACATGACTTACTGTGTCCACGTACAGGTCGAAGCAGTGTCCGAAGCCTTTGAGGCCTTCCAACTGCGCACCTACGACTACAAGCCCCAGCTCCATGGTACTCCCGACGGGAAAAAGAGGAGGAAAAGCGGCCTCATATCTACGTAAAAGCATCATTTGTCGAGGTATCGAATCCAATGGATAGCTTCGGTGAGGAATTTCCACTTCTTATAGTTAACTCCTCCGCTGGGGTTTTTTGATGTTTTGTTTTTTTGACATGGTGTCGTACTCTTGCTCTGGACTTTTCCATTTCGACATAACATGTCGTGAGACAGAGTATCGATGGCTGGTGTGAGACGGAGTAACTGAAGGTAAGCTGGCACAGGTGGAACAGCGATGCTAGGAGATTTGTCTACGTCCGTCGGCGGTCCCCTTAAGTAGCTGGACTGGACGCCAAGAACCGCAAAATCCAGCTCTCAAAATCTAGAGAAGAGGTCTGTAGCTTTACTAGTTTCCGCTCTACTCTCCTGCTCAAAGGTCAGTAACTTCACTAGTTTTCTATGCGCAGCTTCTAATATGATTCTTTGTTTCAGAAAGATTGTGGAAGGCCGAGAACCGACAGGCCGAAAGCTCCTAAGTGGACGATATAACGAGAGTATCAAGGTAGTTCGATCGATCTTTGCAGGGAGAAGCATCGACCAACGAAGCTGATATTCGCAGCTATGGATCGAGCGAGTGAAGCTGCTGGAACCCAGAATGGAAGCGGAGGATTTTACATGGCCTCGTGTGGTCCGGTGATGGCTTCCCAGCCGGTGACGATGAGCTGCGGTCTCCACCAGCAAGCGTCGATAGTCCAGAGAATGGCAGCGGCTTATTACCACCATCAGCAGCAACAGCAACAGCAACGATGTGTTCTACTCAACGCTGGATTCGCGAAACTCACACTCAAGAAAGAAGCTTGGCAATGCTCGTGAGGGACGAGAAAAGAGTACCATATTCTTTGGCAAATGTACATAAATGTATCCATTTGACAGTAGGACGATTATACATGTTAATAGTAACAATAAAAACGATTCAAAGGTTTAGATCCTAGGGTTCTTGGATGGGTTCTAGGCGGGAGAATGCGCGGCCTGGTAAGATCGCGTGCCAATGCATCTTTTCTGTGATTTTGGCCTCGATACAGCTCTCTTTGCTGTGGATTGTGTCGATCTTGCTATCCTTAGATAGATCGCTTCGTTGTCAGGCATTCTCGTGAAGTCTTTGTCCTCTTTGCTAAGTGCAAATTTCGAGTGATTTCCTGTGTAGATAATGAATTAGATCATCTATCGCTGGCTTATGAAGCTTCGTTGTGTTGTTCTATTCGAGAACAGTGAATTTTTTTCGAGAAATATCATGAAGTGTGCTAGTTTTTGTTCTTATAAACCTTAGCCTCCGGGATTTGTGACTCCTCTTGCGGCTCGGTCTAAGATGTGAGGGCAGCGATTGGGCTGGTTACGTCGTGTCTGCCATCGCTCCATGTAAGTGATCCAAACGCAAAGCTTCCGTTGCTTGATGCCTGCGCGCTGAACTCAACCGTGAAAGATTTCTTCTCGTGCAGCTCCTCGAAACTCAGGCACTCGGGAACTACGTTCACGACAACTCCACTCGGGGCTTTCACAGTGGCCTTGTAAAGCGACTGTGGAGTTCCTACGTTTGTCACGGTTCGGCACACCACCGTCTTTCGTTGCCGCTGCAGGGTGACCGCGATGGAAGGATAATTGAGGTTGTGTGGAGCGATCGGAGCACTCGGGCAAGGTGTGTCATCGTGTGTTATGTTGTGAAGTTGCTTTAACGAGCCGATACTGCACAGGAAGCTGACATAGTCGTGGAAGCCGGTGTCGTAGACAAGGCCGGGCCTCAATGACAGGTTTGGCCTCACATGTCCTGCTCCAAAGTCGAAAGGCCCGGAAACTGTCTGGAAGAATTGATTGTTGATTGCCGCGCCTGTGTTATCCAAAGTCGAAGCTGCAAGTATCCAAAGTGAGTGCTGTGTTTCTCAAGTTGTGTTAGTATATGTATACCCGTTGTCATGATTGCAGATTTAATAGCTGCGGGGCTCCATCTCGGGAACTTGGCTATCAGATTTGCCGCAACGCCTGTAATGTGAGGGCAGGACATAGAAGTTCCCGAGACTATGTTGAAGTCGACAGATCGCCCTCCGACAGCTTTAGTCGCGACTGGTGACCATGCTGCTAGAATGCTGACTCCAGGAGCGGTAATATCCGGCTGTTAAACCATACAGTAAGAAAGCTTAATCATAGCTATAAACCTCACCTTAAGGATTTCTGGTGTCACAGAATTTGGTCCTCTGGATGAGAAGACTGCAACAGCAGGCGCTGGCTTAAAGTTTCGCACGGTTTTTGTGGGGAGGATCGTTGCAACTGGAGAACTATGCGGACAGCCGGATCGTCAGATGAAGTTTTTTGACCGGCAGAGCTATACCTTGTCTGGTTGAGGTAAGTAGCAATCACAGCACCTTCTTTTGCACCAACATTAGTTGCTGGCAGGAAGTAAGACTCTGCGATATCCTTGGCAATCTCATCAACAAGAATCATTCCTACGCCACCTAGCTGCTTGATCACCAGACTCTTGAGCGGTCTCGAATCCAGCGCGGAAGGCTGAAGGCACAGAATGATGTTGCCTTTTACTTTAGATGCGTCCAAAGTATTGTTTTGGCAGAAACTGCATGCGGCATATAAAGGGAAGTAAGTTTCTAACAATTCTTCTATATATTTTTACCTTGCATTTACACTCGGAACTCCAGGAGCTGGGATGCTGCTAGCAGGAACGAGCTTGCTCCAGGGTGCAGCTATACTGTCCGGATTTGCTGCCTCCCCCTGTCAAAGTGTTTCCAAGTCAGTACCTGTGACGACCCAAAAGACCAGCCAACCTTGATACTCATGTTGTTACCAAGGACAACATTACTCGCCAAGTCCCTGTCGATCGAGCTCGCTCCGACTGTTGCAATCCACGGGGCAACGTTCGCAGCTGAGCCGGGAACGCCGCTGTTTCCAGCGGAGCAAGAGACAAATATGCCATGCCTCATCGCATGAAACGATCCGATGGATATGGTGTCGCTGAAAAAGTCACTCTGTGGAGGATTCGGGCCCAGTGACATCGATATTATGTCCACTCCGTCAGCGATTGCATCGTCAATGGCAGCAAGGATATCAGCGTCCGAACAAAAATCGTTCCAGCAGACTTTGTAGATTGCTAGCCTTGCCAGAGGTGCTCCACCTCGAGCGGTGCCTGAAGCAATATTTCCGGGAAAGCTGGCGCGAAGAACAACTCGTCCAGCGGCTGTTGACGCCGTGTGGGTGCCGTGGCCATCGTCATCTCTTGCGGACAGGGTAAAGTTTGCACCGCTAGCATTTAGCGGAGCTTCGGCGTTTATTCCTTTGAAGTAGAACCGTGCACCGATTATCTTCCTGCAAAGCCGCAACAGGTCTGCTGGTCAACTCTCTCAAGCTTGTACTGTTACTAACTTGTTACAGTCGTCTGTGGTGAATTTTTCACCAGGTACACAAGCTCCTCTCCAGCGTTTTGGCACAGGTTCCATGCCATCGTCGTGAAAGCTCTTGGATTCAGGCCATATTCCTGAACAGGAAGGTGCAAATTGTTCTGATGGATTTTCATTTTCTTGCTGTGCTACTTACCAGAATCCAGCATTCCAATTATCACGTTTTGAGCTTTCTTGGAGTACCATTCTTCCGTTCCTGTCCAAGTTTGTGCGGGCATTCCGGCCAAGAAGCTCCACGACTGCGTGGTGTGAACTTTGTGGAGTTTGTTCGAAATCACGGAGAGGACGCCATCCTTTTCTGCACAGCGAGAAGATGTTATAAGAGCAGTCGTTTTCCAGCTGAGGTACGTACTTGCAATAGCATCGGCTTGTTCATTAGTTAGAAACGCTGCAAAGCCTCTCATTCCATGCTTGTAGCTGTAGATCATTGAATCTTGTACAGCCTCGGAGCTGTGCCGCGTCTTTGATTCAGTACATGTAGCTAGCGTATTTGTTTCTCATACCTTCCAAGTACGTTTGCGAGCGTGGCATGGTTGTGTTTGTGAGCTGCGTGAATGTCTTCGTGACTTGCTCTCCTTCCCGTGTAGACAACATACAGCTAAAAAGCACGGATTGAGGATTTCGTGTAACTCGAGTTCACAACTTACCTTTCTATCAGATACACTGGCAGCTCCAAGATGACTCGAAAGGAGGAGGACAATAAAGAGTACCATTGCTGGGAGCTCCATTGCCAGGTGATTGATTTCGGAATTTCTTTCTGCAATTTATAGAGGACCTTAATGAACAGGAACGAGCCTGCACTTGATTTTTATTTTTTAGGCCGGCAGCATTGCGTGTTTCACTTGTCTCGCTTGTAGCAAAGATGCGACTTCCAACGTCAAACGCGATAATCTCCTAAAGGACAGCCGACCGAGAGAGTATGGTTTATTCTTTTTTTGTTCTGTTTCTCAAGAATTATCTTGTCGTTTCAGGCTGGTGGTAGAATAACAACAAAAGACCGGTCCGATGGATACCACGACCTCGAGCCTTCAATACGTCGGCAACTGCTGAAGAAGGCGCTCCTGGATCATCTGCCTCAGGTTCATTTGGATCTTCCTCATCGTCTGGATAAACTCGAGCATGATCTTCTCGCGAAAGAGCACGAACTCCTTCATCACCACCACCGGAGCTGCGACCTCGGCGTGGAGGTGAGGCATGGTAAGAAACGAGACACACCTCCGGCTCTCGATGTACTTGGTGTCGTGATCTCCATCGGTTAAGCAGGTCCCATCCTCGAGCTCCAGCTGATCCAGGAACAGGATAATGGCACTGGCTTGCAACGGATCGACGAGAGCTCCCTGCTGCTGACCAAAGTGAGCCAGCTCTACTTGATTGTTCTTGTTGATCCTAAACTGGTTGTGACAGTCTCCAGTTCCTCCAACGCCGACGAACGTGAAGGACGCAGCGAAATAAGCTTTGCAGCGCGCGATCTCCCCGATCCTCAGCACTTTCTTCCCGTCCCTGGAGGAAAGAAATCACGCTGCGTGAGCTCTTGGAGGTGAGAGAGAGCTCTTTACCTGGTGGAGATGGAAGGCGTGAGACTCTCGTTGTTCTTGAGCTCCAGGATGGGAGGAAGATGGTGGTAGCCATCGAAGTAGAAGTCGCAGGCCTGCGAGAGCTCGACGTATTTCTGGAGCTCGGCGCACTGCGATTCGGCATTGCGGATCTCGAGCAAGAGGCGCGCAAGGAAGAATAAAGCCAGGTATGCGCGGCTCATGCCTCTGTGCCTTCCTTGTTCTTCGTCTTTCTTCGTTTCACTCAAACACAATCTTGTTGCCTGCCAAAAGTAAAGTAAATTAACGTAACTGGTTTAGGGTTTTTTAAAATTAACTACTTTTTTGAAAAACCCTAAACCCTTCAATGTAAGCTGGTACATTTTAGGGCACATAAAAGATTAAAAAAGTAAAGTAAATCTTTGTTTAACATTTTAGGGCAGATTTAGGGTTCTTAAAAATGCTCTCTCTCTCTCTCCAATTCCTCACCTTTGTTTCAGTTTTGCGAGATCTACAATGATCACCGTCATGTTGTCGTCAGAATCAGCCTTCTCGATAAGCTTCTGGCATATCTCGCCCAGTGGAACCTTTCTCCCCATCATCCCTCCCACCAGATCCACGACCTGCTGGCTGTCCATCCAGATCCCATCCGACGATAGCACCAGGAAATCCTCGTCGCCCTTGAGCTCCTCCTCCACAATCTCGGGCACCGCGATCACGATCTGCTCGTCCAGCGCCAGCTCCGGATCCAGCTTGAAATCGAAGTCGCCGATCGATCGCGACATCGCCAGCATTCCCCGCTCGTCCTTGCCCGTGACGCTGCCGTTGGGCTGGATTTTCCCCCCCGCGGCCTCGATCCTGGACTGCTCCTCGGGGATCTCGGGCTCGTGAGCGATGGCCAGATCCACCGCCATTTTGTTCCAGGAGAGGATCGCCCGCGAGTCTCCGACGCTTGCGACCGTGAGGATTTTTTCCCGAGGCTGGACGAGTGCCACCACCGCCGTGCTGCCGGAGACAATCTCATCGCCTTTGTCGTCCAACTTGGTGTAATCACACTCCTTCAAACACTTATCGTCCATCTCCAGGAACGCGTCGTGCAAAGCCTCGCGATAGCAGTGATCGTCCTCGCCCATTTCCTCCAGCTTCCCAGCTACGTGAGGGAGGAAATTCTCCGAGCAAAACCTTGCGATTTGATCGCCGCCGTGCCCATCAAACACCCCGGCCAGGAGACTATGCTCTAGATCTAGATAGCTACAATAGTCCTCCATGTAATCGCGATCACCAATGCTTTGCCCCACTCCCACCAAGCTCTCCATTGTCTTGACCTAGTGAAGAGCCCTAAAATCGCTTATATAGAGTGGCTCAAGTGAAAATGTAGAAGTTATTACTGACTAGAACATAGGAAGTTTTAGAATCTACCCGCTGTAAATTATCCTCTCGAGCGCCCAAGAGAGATTTCCATGCGATCAAATCGGGCTCGAATGGCATGGATCTTAGCAGCTCCTCCGCCTCGCGAGATTTCCCAGCTCGGCTCAAATGATCCACCATGCAGCTGTAGTGATCCAGCTTGTGATCGATTCCAAAATCCTGGGACGTGGAAACAAAGCAATCCCTCGCGCTGATCAGAGATCCGGCATGGCTGGACATCGCCATGATGTGAATTAGCGTCGCCTCGGTCACTGCGATGCCTTCCAGATTCATGGCACGGAAAACCTCCAGGGCCAGCGATGGTTTCTTCGATCGAGCATACGCCGCGACCATCGAGTTCCAGCTGATCTCATCGCGCTGCTTCATGCGCTCGAAGATCTCCCTTGCATCGTCCGCACTCCCGGATTTGCTGTAGAGATTGAGCAGCGAGTTTCCCAGCGCGATATCGTGGAGCACGATGCTGGGCTGCTCCTCCAGGATGATCTGGTGGACAACTCGGCCTCTGGCAAGATCGGCGCTCCCGGCACAGGCATCGATCACGACCAAGAAGGTGATCGCGTTGGGCGTCACTCCCTCCATAACCATTCCTTGAAAGATCCTAAACGCTGATGTAGCATCGCCCCTCTGGGACCAGGCCGAGATCAAAGAGGTCCAAGAAACCACGTCCTGGAATGGGTTTTGATCCAGGAGATCCTTCGCTTGGTCGAGATTGCCACTCGCAGTGTAAGCTCCGATCATCGTCTTCCACGAAACGAGATCTCGTCTTTCCATCTTCTCAAAGATAGATCTTGCTCGCGGTAGATAATTATTCTCAACACAAAGGTTTATCATGCAGTTCCATGCCGCTGTATCGCGAAGTGGCATCTTTTCAAACATTTCTAACGCTTCCAGCATATGCCCCTGGCGGGCATATGCTGCAAGTAAGGTAGTCCAAGACACCACGTCTCTTCTCGGCATTTTCTCGAAACATTTCCTAGCCTCATGCAAATCACCACGCAAACAGTACGTTTTAAGCAAAATATTCCACGATACGTCGTCGCGGTGAGGCATTTCTTTAAACAGAAGTTTTAACTCTTCTAAATCCCCATTACGGGCATATGCACTAAGCATCGAGTTCCAAGACACCACATTGCGCTTGGGCATGGAACCAAAGAATATTCTTGCATCACCCAATGGCTGACAGTGTATGTAAGCTGACAACATAATAGTCCAAGTAACCACGTTTTTGTCCTTGATTTGGTCAAACAATTCTTTCGCTTCGCAAAAATGCCCATCAACGGCATATGCTGATAACATAACATTCCAAGTCACAACATTCTTTCTGGCAATGGAGTCGAATATTCGTCTCGCGTCGTCAATTTGGCCACCCTGCACGTACGCCGCCAGCATGGACGTCCACGACACAACATTCCGTACGGGCATATCGTCGAAGAGGGATTTGGCCTGGGCCAGGTGCCCATTGCGGGCATACGCCTTGAGCATGATCGTCCACGTGTGCACATTGGGCGGCTGGATCTCATCGAAGACCCTTCGCGCGTCCACAACGCTGCCACATTCTCCGTACATCTCCACAAGGTGGTTGCCCAAGAAGACGCTCTCCCGGTGCTCGCTGGCGAGGATTTGCGTGTGGAGGACTCTGCCATGGGCGAGATCCTTGCAGTTCTTGAGAGCTCGAGCATAGGATGCTGGATCGTTTTGGACCTGCGCTTGCATCAAATTGGATTGGAAGACAGTTCTTTGGTGATCATCTTTGGAATTATATAGTGCTACAAAATAAAATCTTCTCCATTCTCTCTAAAGATGAAAGATTGGCATTCCCGTACCCTTGTCAATCGATCCATCGCTTGTATGATATTAAGCATTCTCGGCAATTGGACATATCTACCATCTGTGGTTCATCCATCTTCTACCATTAGCGTGACTTTGACCTCTCGAAGCAATGAATCGCTCTTATCAGGATACTTTAAGCACTGGATTATTCAAACAAAAGAAAGATGTGAAGTAAGCAAAAGAGAGAATCTACTGGGGTACGAAAGCTACACTTTGTTTCAGTTTCTCCAACTGGATCACGGTGAAAGTAGCAGGCAATATTTCTGAGGAAACGAAGCTGTGGTCCTCTACAAGAATGCTTATTTTATCTTATCATTAAAAATAATAATGATAAAAATAATTTTTATGTCAATTGATGGTGCACAAACAAGTGAGGCAAAGATGGCAACACTTACGCCAGAATAACAGCTCAAAGTCAGGGTCATTGCATTTCCGCGTCCCTTGGCGAGTGAAAAGAACCACTTCAAGGATTTGCGGCAAAAAACCTAGAACTCCACCAAGTTTGCGCCACCCCGGTTCCTCGTGTCTCTCCCCAATCTCGAACGCTAGGATCACAGTGTTGGGGCCTTGCCCGCTTTCAACTTCCAAAGCGGGCTGAGCAAGAGAAACTCGTCTACGTTCCCTTTCTTCAAGCCATAGCATCGAACCTGTTCTTTTGCATCAGATAGCGTCGTGTAGGCTAGAGACACCAGCAGCAACAGACCTCAGATTCATCAAGGCTCTTCGAAATGGTGACAAGCTCCAGAACCTCATCCTCTTGCGTATCATAGTGGAGAGGTAGACACCATTTGCCAATAATTGCGAGTCTGTGCCCACGGAAGACTACGTAAGAAACTCTACCGCCAACTTTGTAGAGACCATTGACTGAGCTCAACAGTTGCTTTTGTTCTTCCTCAATCCACTGCTTCCGAAGACTAAAATGGTCGTGTCTCATGGGCGAGATCCTACAATTCTTGAGCATAGAATGCTGGATCGTTTTGGATCTGCGCTTGCATCGAATTGGATTGAAGCATTGTGCTTTGGCGAAGTTTCTAGCTTATGGTCGAAAGGAGGACGTAAGAGGGCGCGTCGCAGGGATCCATATCAAGCACTCGATGCGCCGCTCGAGCCCCAAGCTTGGCGCTACTGTGAGACTTGGAAGCGCCCAGGAGAGATCTCCAGTCGGACTTATCCGGCACGAATGGCATGTTTAGCACGAGATCTTCGGCGTCGCGGAGGTGGCCCGCGCGGGCGATGAGATCCGCGAAGCAGCAGTAGTGGCGCTTCGTCGGAGAGACACCAAAGTCGAAGCTCATCGAAACGAAGCACGACTTGGCGGCGTTCGTCTTGCCGACGTGATTGCAAGCGTGCAACGCACAGATGAAGCAAACATCGTCGAGGAAGATCTGGAAGCTATTCATCTCGCGGAACAAGAACAGGGCTTCTCGGAAATGCCCATTCTGCGCATATGCCGACATCATAGCAATCCATGTCACGGCACTCCTCTCGTGTACCTCATCAAAGATTCGTTTCGCAGTTTCGACATTCCCGTGCTGGGCATATGCCGAGAGCATCGAGTTCCACGAGACCATACTCCTCTGACCCATTTGATCAAACACACTCTTTGCCTCGATCAAGTTTCCATTGATATTGTACGCACTTAGCATTGCAGTTTGGAGCACCGGATTCTTTTCGTCAACCCTTGTGTACAAACATTCTGCTTGTTCTAAGTGATCACTTTGGGCATATGCAGCTAGCATGGTAGTCAAGGCTACCGTGTCCCACTCAGGCATATTCTCTAAAATCCACCTAGCATACTCCAGATTCCCACACAGGGCATATGTCCTCAGCATTGCTGTCCATGCAACCCTGTCCTTCTCGGGCATTTTATCGAATATACGCTTAGCTTTCTGGATATGCCCTTCTTGCGCATATGCCGATAGCATGGTAGTCCATGAAACAAGATCCAACTCCGGCATTTTTTCAAACAAGCATTCTGCCTCTGTAAGATTCTCATTTTCTGTATAGGCTGTGAGCATAGAGTTCCAGGTAATGACGTTCTTTTGGGGGATCTGGTCGAATACATTTCTGGCCTCCTGGATATACCCGTTTTGGGCATACGCATTCAGCATTGCGGTGGCGGAGATGGAGTTTTGGAACTGCATCTCGCTAAACACTGCCTCAGCATCCCGGAGATTCCCAAGCTGGGAATATGCCGTGAGCATTGCGGTGGCACAGACTTGGTCCCTCTCTGGCATATTCTCGTACAGCCTCTTGGCCTCTGCCACGTGTCCGTTTTGGGAGAAGGACGAGATCAAGGAGTTCCAAGATACAAGGTTGCGGCAAGCCATCTCGTCAAAGAATCTCTTGGCATCCTCCATTTTTCCCTTTTGGGCGATTGCTGTTAGCATTGCATTCCAGGAAATCAAGTCTTGCTCGGGCATATGATTGAATGTATCTTGAGCATCGATTAGATTTCCGTTCTGTGCAAATGCGGTAAGGATTGAGTTCCAAGAGACAAGATTGTGCTGCGGCATTGAGTCAAATACTTGCTTTGCATGCTCGAGATACCCGTTTTGGGCATACGCCGATAACATCGCCGTCTGGGAGATCAGATTCTTTGTGGGCATCCTGTCAAAGATACTCCGGGCGGCTTCCAGCTGCCCGTTTTGAGCAAACGCGGTCAGCATCGAAGAAAAAGATACCATATTCCTAGCCGGCATGGAATCAAAGATCCGCTTCGCATCCGCAAGATGCCCGTTTTGGGCATAAGTCACAGCGATGGTGTTCCAGGAGACCAGATTCTTCTCCGGCATCTCATCGAAAGTCCGCCTGGCCTCCTCCACAAGTCCGTTCCTGGAGTAAGCAGAGATCATGAAAACCCACGAGTAGCAATTCTTCCATTGCCTCAGAGAATCAAAGACCTCTCGAGCCTGGGAGATGCCGCCGCACCTCCCGAAAACTTCGATGAGTTTGTTCCACACGAACGTATCTCTCGAATGGCTGGTGCGCTCCACTAGCGATCTCAGCTGGGATGCACGAGAAAGTGTGGTACATGACTCCAATTGCCTGATACATTCTTGCCTCTCCATGCAAATGGTGATCCAAAAAAGGTGGCGGCCACATTTATAGCTAGCCCTAAGAGTTGTCCAAAGATCATCCCAAACCTTATAAATACGCTATCTCACAGCCTTTAGGGTATCTGATGGCGATGGACTACTACATGCTTGACCACTACCGCGCGATTGATTCGTGGGAGCCCCGGACGTTCTACTACGCCACGGACGAGGAGGAGGGCCTCGCGCTCTACCAGCAAAAGATGGCGGCCAGGGAGTTCTACGTCCAGCAGCTCCAAAACAAAGTGGCGGAGGAGGCGTCGGCGGCCATGGATCCTTTCACGTCAGCTTATGGCGTCGATCTCCGTGGGTTCACGAGGAGGCTCGCCCTCGCCCCGGATCATCCGGTAGCTCCAGCTTCTCAAGTTCCCGCGACCCAAGCCAGGGTTTCCAATCCACCTCTGACTGTTACAACTCGGGCTAGATCCTCGGCGAGCGCTCCTCGTCCCTCTCCTCCAAGGGGTGTTAGGGTTTGTTCTCCAATCACCACCACCACTGCCATGAAGCCCAGTGAAGAGCAGCCAGTTCGATGCGTTTTCTGCGAGTCTTTCAACACCAAGTGCGAAGGGTATAACAACAACAATGTGAAACAAAAGAGGTACCGCTGCTACGACTGTAAGAATCGCTTCACGGAGGGAGGGAAGCTGCGAAAGCACAGGGAGATAAAAGCCATGCTCATGAAAAGGAAGCGAGAACAAGGGTTTTGATATATTAGATTGTGAAAGCCATGATCATAGGTTTGCTAGATTGATCAAAGACAAGAATTGACAATGTAATATATAAAGAAAGATGGCGACCATTTCCCCCAAGAGTCCTTTACACCTACAAAATTTTGCAAAAGGTGACGAAGCTCACCTCCTTTTGCTCTCCACTGGCTACGTGACGGCCTCTTCTTGCAGCGTCTCGCACCCCGGGCAATTGTGTAGCGATTCGTGAATGTAAACATCGCAGTCGAAGCAAAAATCCCTCTTGCAGCGAGGGCACCGCAGTCTCAAGCTTCCACTCCCTGCATTGTCAAAACTTTTAGCTCACTCCTCCATAGAAAAGAAAGAAAGAAAGCTTGCAAAACGAAGAACAAGGAAAGCTTACCAGAGAGCTGGATTCTACATCCAAAGCAAGACCCCGCAAAGCTCGACTTGCCTCTGAGCGATGCGTCCACCAGGAGCTCGTCGAAAGTGGGAATGGGAAAGAGATGGTGGTACGAGCGTGCCAAGTGAGCCGAGGAAACCAGCGCCAGGCCACACAGGCTACACTCGGTCGGGAGCTCGCACACCCGAGCCCGGCAGCGAGGACAGATGTAGCCACCCCCGATCTTCAGCTCCTTGTGGCACGCACAGATCGCTACTGCTCCTTCGGAGCCCCGCTGAGGGAATCCCATGCGCACCAGGCTCGCAGACGAGGCGTCTGGCATTGCCGCTGGAGGAGGGACGTGCTCCAGAAGTATTTCTTTGAGATGTCCCTGGAATGAACGCGTAAGTCTAGAGAAGGACGAGGCAAAGAGGCAAGAACACGAACCTCGTTCATAGCAACTGCGTATGATCCTCCGGTTTCCTGACTTATGTGCTTGCAGATGTAGATCTCTGCCGTGAGGCCAACGACGGAGCATTTCATCCTGGCGGCCTTGCATTTCTTGACAGTCTCGAGGATGTTGCCGGGGTCGCAAGTGCTCAGCGCCGAGAAAACGATCACCACCTCCCTGTGTCCGTAAGACGGGATGTGCTGGACGTATGTGTGCGCCAGCTCGAGCCCGTTTTGTAGCGATGCTTCTCCAAAGGACTCAAGGTTGGACTTCAAGGCGCGGATGTGTGCCTCAGGACTGCCACTTAGTTCCGTGACCACGCTGGCGATGCCGTTCTTCATCACTATGATCCCAAGCTGGCTGAGAGGATTTTGGTCGAAGTATTCCCGCACGAAGTCTTCGACGGCTTTCGCGACGACTGCCATTCGCGAGGGCCGGAAGTCGATCTCTCCCGCTGCCTGGAAGTAAACACCACTTAAGTCACTATAAGATTTCCACAATGAACAGCGAGAAAACTCCTGGATGCGCTTGAACACGAACGAAAACGAAGAAGAAACTCAATGAAAACCAATGAACAGGCAAGAAAAATCCTGGAAACACGAATGAAAACGAAGAAGAAACTCAACGAAAACCATAAGAAACGATGAAAACTAGATGAACTTCACACTACGATGCATTCTATGACCCAAGCATCACACATTTTGCCTATATTTCTTTCCTCTCCATCACACTCAACGAGAAAGTATCAGCATTGGCGCTTACCCGGGAGAAATCGAGGATGAGGCAGAGATATCTGATGATGCCGCGCTGGATCCGAGGCCCCGACGCTTGAATCAGCCTCCGCCGGTGCTGCCTTTGCTGCTGGACATCGTCCCCGGCCTTGAGCAGCCCCGACTCATCCTCGATCAGCGACTCCCACGACCGATCGTCCGCGTACGCACGCTCCCAGGCCTCCATGTCTGGTGCCTTGTCCTCTTCCTCCATCTCCTCATCTTCCTGGAATGCCGCCCCGCCCTGCCCCGATCGCTTCTCCATTGCGATGAAGAACCCTAAAGCTCTACTTAAACCCTAGAAAACAGAGCATTAGGGGAATGCCGGATGGAATGCTGCGTTAAATCTCTCGTTCTTGGCGCTCCTGCGGCCGCGTGCACGCATCGATCGGCGAAATCCAGGCCCACGATCGGAAGGAGCCGCATTCTCTGTGGATCGCGAGGAGCTGGAATTTCTCCGCGAATGGTGAGTATCGCTGCTACAATGAGCAGCCCTTCCTGGGTGGATGAATCCGCTGCTCCTGCTCTTGGCGAGAATCGGTGTCAGGCAGGGGAGAGCTTGATGGCGTATCTGGGATCGAGCAGCGGCCTGGACGAGAATCTGGCCATTGTGATACTCCATCTCCAGGGGGCTGTCAAGGAAATCGCCGCGCTCCTGGCTTCTCCAGAGGCCATTCTTTCCAGTGATTCTACTTCTTTCTCTTCTTCTCCCTCGGTAGCTCCTTCGTCCGGAAGAGACGCTCCCAAGCCACTCGACATAATCTCGGTAAGTTTCTATCGTTTTTCTTCTTCTTATTGGACTTACCTCCTTGTTCCAGAACGAGCTCCTCAAGAAATCTCTCGAGAGCTCCCGAAAGGTGGCAGTGGTGGCGTCCGAGGAAGAGGATTTGCCGGTGTGGATCAACGACCATGGCCCGTTCGTGGCGGTGTTTGATCCTTTGGACGGCTCCAGGAACATCGATGCCTCCATTCCAACTGGAACCATCTTTGGGATCTACAGGCGCCTGGAAGAGGCTGATAAGTTGCCAGTGGAAGAAAAGGCACAGCTTAACGTCCTCCAGTGTGGCTCGAGGCTTGTAGCGTCGGGATACGCTCTCTACTCGTCGGCAACCATTTTGTGCTTGACGGTCGGCCAGGGAACTCAGATCTTCATGCTGGACAGATCTTGCGGAGAATTCAAGCTTGTCAAGCCCGACGTTAAAGTTCCCGAGAGAGGTACGTTAGAAGTTCTCTTCCTCGTTTCTTGGAGAAAAGCTTGCTAACTTTGAGGTTATCCTCTCCCAGGACAAATCTATTCCGTGAACGATGCAAGGTATTTCGATTGGCCTCAAGGACTCCGACGCTACATTGATGATATTAGAAGAGGCAAAGGCCAGTTTCCAAAGAAGTACTCGGCAAGGTATGTATGCTCACTGGTAGCAGACGTCCATAGGACAATTCTCTACGGTGGTATTGCTATGAATCCTCGCAGCCATTTGAGACTAGTGTATGAAGGGAATCCATTGGGTTTTTTGGTGGAAGATGCTGGTGGTAAAGCATGCGATGGAAAGAGAAGAATTTTAGACATCCAGCCAGTTGAACTTCACCAGCGATTGCCTCTTTTCCTAGGAAGTAGTGAAGATGTGCTGGAGCTAGAAACCTACGGAGATGTACAACAAGTTGTGAATCCTGGCTATGAAGTTTAATATATCCTGGCTATGTTCATATATTCATTCTGCCATCCTATTGTCTTTCAATTTTCGAAATCAATCAATCAAATCCAAATTCAAATGTTTATTAAAAAATAAATTGACGAACATAATAAAGTGATCAAGATCTCATCACGATGATGCTAGTTCGCTAATACTAATGGGAGAAACATCACCAGAAGTGGCTCCAGTCCACCATCTCTGTGCAGCCATACTATTAAATGCATCAGTTTGATGAATTCCATCCCAAAAAGCATATTTTGTTCTATCTTGACAAATTGTTGCTCCAGGGCGGCAATTCAAGGTATGTGATCCTTGAGGGCAACAAGCACTGCTCGAATCAGTTAAACCTGTTGATCGAAAAAGCATTAAAAATAATAATAAATAAATAATAAACTTTACCATAAGATTGTGGATTATTGTGAACATCCACCATAAGTCCATAAAAATTTGTCATCACAAATTGAGCATCTTGTAAAGAATTTCTCAAGTTTTGAAGAGCTGATTGAAGCAAATTATTATATGTTTGTGCACCTTGCTGAGCAACAGATGCACATTGTCCTCCAACTATATTTAATGGGATGCATCCAACAGCACTTAATCCAACTATAACAAACTTTTTAGCACCCAAATTATATAATGTCTGCAATTAAAATATTAATAAGAAAAATTAGAAAAAGAATTAACTATAATATATACCTGAAGTTCATTCATAAAAGTATTAATAACTATTTGCTCATCTGATTGAAGAATTCTCTTTGTTCGTTGATACATATTATTGATATCATTATTTCCAGAGCAAATATAAAATATAGATTTTGCAACTACATCACTTGCATTAGATGATCCAATCATTTGAACCATTTTCTGTTTCAAGCTTTTAAAGTCATTAATCTGACTTCCAAGAGCTTGCCCTCCTCCCTTTAAAATTACCAACAGATTAAGATTACAAACTAATAAAATATTATTAAAAAAAAGCATTTACCATTACTGTTTGTGGAAGAATTCCAGATCCAGCAGAACCAAAATTAGCTCCTTTAAGAATATTGTTTCCAGCTTGAAGATAAGCAGGTGGGATTGGTAGTCCCAGATGTGATGCTAGATAAAAAGAAAATAGAAAAGAAACAATGTAAAAATAACAGGAAATTAATGATTACTTACCAATATATTCAACTAACAAACGCCCATTACAAAATCTGCTTGCTTGGCCTCCAGGAAAATCAATACCATATGGATACCCAACATGAGCATTATCACCAGAATCCACTAGAGAGTCTCCAAATGCAAACAACGCTGGAACAGATGAAGCTTGAACTGAAGAATTTGCTTGCTGAGAAGGCACAAACAAACTCGCAGCAAACGCCACAAAGAAAATGATCAGAAAAGCTGCCATCGCCCTTGCTTCCAAACACCAATATTCGTAAAACAAATGCCCTGCCTTTTATACTTCAGATCACTATAATCTTAGACAACTATTCCAAGTAAAAGCCTCTATTTATAAAATCCACCAAAATTCTATCTTTATATCGTAACGTGAAGGTTTAAACTAGGTTTAAATTTCAAAGAGGATGGCCTTGGCCATGGCAATGGCGCCCGCGCACGCAAGATCCTGCGCGAGGATCGAGTGGAATGGAAGAATGCAGCGCAGTGAGGTAAATTCACGGCCCCGGTCCTGGCATGTACGAGCAGCAGCGGGAGGAAATGGAGCCGCCAATGTCGTTCTTGACAAAGAAGAGGCGGCGCCGAGCTATGGGCGACAGTATTTTCCCCTGGCAGCGGTCGTCGGCCAAGTAGGTCCTTCTTTCTTCCTTTCCTGCGCGAGGATGTAGATTTTCAAGTCGTCCGGATGGATGCTTGGCAGGAAGCTATCAAGGCCGCATTGCTTCTGGGAGCTGTGGACAATGGCATTGGCGGAATTGCGGTTGCTGGTAGACGCGGGACTGCCAAGACTGTCTTAGCTCGCGGCCTACACGCACTACTTCCGCCTATAGAGATTGTCGCTGGCTCCATCGCGAATGCCGATCCATCTCATAGCGAGGAGTAAGTTTTTGCTCTGCGAGCTCGAGAAAATTTCTTGTCATTGTTTGTTTTTCTCGTTGTTGCAGATGGGAAGATGGTCTGGAAGAGAAAATCGCTCTAGGAAGCGATGGCAAGCCCGTGGTCGACGTTGTCAAAGCACCTTTCGTGCAGGTAACTCGCGAGTTTTTGGAGGAGTTCCTCTTATTTGATCTTTCAGGTGCCACTCGGTGTTACAGAGGATCGTTTGCTGGGCTCGGTGGACGTGGAGGAGTCGATCAAGCAGGGAACCACTGTCTTTCAGCCGGGGCTGCTTGCTCAAGCTCATCGTGGAGTACTTTACGTGGACGAGATCAATCTTTTGGACGAAGGCATTAGCAATCTTCTGCTCAACGTGCTGACTGAAGGGATCAACGTGGTCGAGAGGGAGGGTGTGAGCTTTCGCCACCCTTGTAAGCCGCTCCTCATTGCAACTTACAACCCGGAGGAAGGCGCTGTTAGGGAGCATCTGCTAGATCGTATTGCTATAAATCTCAGGTACCTATAGAGTTTGCTGTTTTCTTTCTTTCTAAAGTAGTTTTTACTGCAGTGCTAATGCCGCACTTGAGTTTGAGGACCGAGTTTCAGCAGTCGATATTGCAACTCAGTTTCAAGAGAGTTCGAGACTGGTTATGTCAAACTCCGCAGAAGCAACTGAGTCCGCAAGAACACAGGTTCGCCAAACCTCTCGGAAATGTTCCTGATTTCATTTTTTGTTTTTGTCAGATAATATATGCCAGGGAGTGGCTCAAAGATGTAACAATAGGTAGAGAGCAAACGAAGTATCTCGTCATGGAAGCCATTCGTGGTGGCTGTCAGGTAGTCCCTGTTTTTCCTGCAATTGAAAAGTAGTTGAACTGTTCACAGGGGCATCGTGCGGAAATTGGTGCTGTCAGAGTCGCCAAGGCATTGGCGGCCTTAGATGGCCGAGACAAAGTTGGCGTCGACGACTTGAAAAAAGCTGTACGTTTCATATGCAGCATGATATTGTCAAATAACCAATGTTGACACTGCAGGTCGAACTTGTGATCATTCCTCGCTCCACATTGCAAGACGCACCAGAGCAGCCGAACAATCAGTCACCTCCGCCACCGCCTCCTCCGCCTCCACAGAATCAACAGGAAGATCAGGATAAAGACGAGGAAGACGACGAAGAAGTAAGACCACAACAATAACAAGTGATTCCTGACTTTTATTCTGAAAGTAAATGACAGGAGGACGATGACGAGAGTGATGAGCAACAACAGGAGCAAGTTCCTGAAGAGTTCATTTTCGATGCTGAAGGGGGGCTTGTAGACTCCCAGCTGCTTTTCTTTGCACAGCAAGCCCAGCGTCGAAAAGGAAAGGCCGGACGTGCAAAGAATGTCATCTTCTCGGAGGATAGAGGCCGGTATATCAAACCAATGCTTCCTAAGGTAGGCGTGGATTTTCATTGTTGCACTTGCTTGACGCATTCGTCCAGGGTCCCGTCAGGCGGCTGGCCGTGGATGCAACGTTGAGAGCTGCTGCTCCATATCAAAAGCTACGCAAGCAAAGAGCACTCGAGCAGGGTGTCTCCAGGAAAGTTTACGTAGAGCAGTCAGACATGCGTGCAAAACGAATGGCCCGCAAGGCTGGTGCTTTGGTACGTCCCATGCAAAGCAAACAACTCGATGCTCAGTTTTATTCTACAGGTGATTTTCGTGGTGGATGCAAGTGGAAGTATGGCGCTGAATCGTATGAACAATGCTAAAGGAGCGGCAATGCAATTACTTGCTGACAGCTATACGAGCCGGGATCAGGTACTAAGTTACAAGATCGAGATTTCTTCATTTTCCCTGGAAGCATTTGTAACAGGTTTCTATCATCCCTTTCCGAGGCGATGCCGCTGAAGTCTTACTTCCACCATCGCGCTCGATTGCCATGGCAAGAAAGAGGCTAGAGAGGTTGCCTTGCGGTGGTGGTTCTCCTTTAGCTCATGGTTTGAGCACGGTAACTAAGAGTTTGTAGCGTTTGTAGCATGGTAACTTGGACTTCCCTTGCATTGCAGGCTGTGAGGGTGGGACTAAATGCTGAAAAGAGTGGCGACGTTGGACGGATAATGATCGTTGCCATCACTGACGGCCGGGCAAATGTCTCGCTGAAAAAGTCTACCGGAGACCCGGAAGCTATTGCTCCAGACGCTCCCAGGCCATCGCAGCAGGAACTCAAGGTACACAGCATACATAAGCTTGAGTCCAACTTACATCAAGCATTAACGCTACTTCTTCACAGGATGAGATCAAAGACATCGCGGGAAAAATTTACAAAACAGGGATGTCACTGCTGGTGATCGACACAGAGAACAAGTTCATCTCCACTGGGTTTGCTAAGGAGATTGCGCGACTTGCTCAAGGTGAGAGATCTCGAGTTCCATGTAGTCGTAACAAGGAAAGCTTGGAACTTGTTCTTTCAGGAAAGTACTACTATCTTCCAAACGCTTCCGACGCGGTAGTATCCGCCGCAACCAAAGAGGCACTCACGGATCTCAAGAACAAGTGAGAGTCGAGGGTCACTGTGAGCGCCGCTCAGATTTTGAGAGCTTGTCTAAAAAGCTGCTGAGCCAATGTAAGATTTCTTCTTGCCAATGTAATAGTAATGTAATAGTCTGTTCTTACAGAGGTACTGTAGTCCGATTGGAAAACCAGCCTTCTAGGTAGTACTAAAAGAATGGAAAATACTTATTCTAAAAGGGTTGGAGAGGGCCGAGTGATGGAGTCTGGCAAGCCCAGCCGGAGCGATGATCTCTTGTCGCCCGAGGAGCAATCGCGCCTGGCGGCGCTAGTCCGCGAGCATTTCGATTCATCGGCGCCGAGGCGAGCGCCAAAGCCTGCTCGGAGCGAGGGAGGATCGGATCAGCCCTGGAGCTGCGATGGAGGGCCGGTGATCAGTCCCGAGGAGCAGCGCTTGCGGCAGCTACTGGCCGCATCCGAGGTGCGATATTTCGATCGATTCCTTCCGGTTGGGGTTTTTGAAAATGTTTGTGCGCGATTGTTTGTTTGCTAGCTTTGATTCGCATTTCTTAGGAGTAGCTAATGCAATCTTCCCATGATTTTTCGGGAGGCCGTGGATTTTTCTCTTTGTCTTGATGCTGTTCGTGGTTTCGTGCAGCGTCTTCCGAATGGCATGGGTGTTGTGAGCAGCGACGATTATACAGAGAACGAGTACTACAAGGGGCTCAACTCTGTTGGCTGCGATTCTCAACACTACACCGTACGTTCCAAGTTTTCCAAGTTTTTTCCAAGAGTTTGTCATCTGATTCTTTCCTCTCTAGACTGGCAATGGTTTCATTGCTATCGAGAAAAATGGTGGCACGTCTCCTGAAGTTCTTGACGCTCAAAGGGTGGTAGTGAATCGCTCCAGACCCTGCTACAAAAGCAATCCAGCTACAAATGACTGGGAGCCGAGCCCAGCGATGGTAAACTTCCATTTTCCATATCTACAATTTGGGACTTTGTCAATGTTCTTATCTTCTACGCAGGTGTTTACCAAGTCCTTGAAGCCTTCACGAAGCGACCCTTGATAAGAACAACGCTTTGGTCTAAAAAACATTTGTAAGTTTATGTCGCGTCTTTATTTGTCTTTTGCTCGCTCGCTTCGGTGCAAAGATGGAAGTAAAACTCTATCAGCATAAATAATCAATCGCGATTACGTGACAGCCATACGCTTGCCGGAAGAGGATAATGGTCACAAGAGAGTGGAAGAAGAACCGGTGAGATTGCTGGTCATTCCTTCCTGCTTCTCGATCTCATCAAATGCAGGATGCAAGAGAATCGCCTGAAGTAGCTGCGTTCCCCGCAAGCAGTTCGTCAGGGGCAAGTGACCATCCGGAGTCGGCTTTGCAACGTCCCACATGAACTCGACAGGGAACTTCCTGTAAGCGTCGTTCTTCTCGTCCAGCGGCCTCGTCCACCCGACTTTCCGGAAGAACAAGCTCCAGTTCGACGCGACGCTCTTCCAGATCCGCCGCTGGACGCTGTATCCAAACTTGTTGCCACTGTACTGCCTCCAGAGACTGTCGAGCGTTTGAAGGTCCCTGGCCGGGATGAACTGTGCTTCGGAAAAGTAGACCCACTTCCGCTTGGCGGCAGCTTCACCGGCTAAAACGTAGAGAAGTCGTCGAGTTTCCTCGTCTGCTGCTTCCCACTCACCGGCTTCCAATCTTTGTTTCAGCACTTGGTACGAGACACCGGACGAATCCAGCGAGAGCTCTTCCTGGTCGACCGCTGTTGCTCGCAAGGACGAAGCGGCTGCAAGCCGGGTGGAGGATGAAGCTATGGAGGAATAACAAGGCCGGTTATAGCTACACACCCGGCTGCTGTGGCTACTGCGAGCAAATCTGGAGGAGCCACCATAGAAGTCGACTGCGTACCTCTGCCTGGGATCCAGCATTGAATGACACTGGCTGGAGGAGATACTGGTCGACATCTCTTGAGGAGAAAGGGGGAGCTCCTGAGCTCCAAACCTTGAGAATGGTAAGCCCGCAACTTTGCTGCTACTGGTACTAACTTGGCGGAGTTCACAGGAAAAGATAAGGAGATGGAGAGGCCAATAGGAGCTCAGATTTTGGGGGCCAGCCAACGTTTGCATGGATATGGTGGAGCCTCTGTGCCACTAGAAGTGCCACTCTGGACAACCCACTGCCACGCTGGACCGCCAGAGTTTGTAAGAGTGTCACTTTACTACCGGAATTCTATACTCACAAATCCCTGTCGCCGTTCCAGGCTCTCTGGCGTTTCCAAGTCCCAGATTCTAGCTTCGTCCTCTGTTATCTCGACATCGCATTCCCAGGAGCGCTCAAGCGCACCACCATTTCCATTCCAGGTCTGTTGTTGCTGTCCCAGCCCCTGAAACGCTACCTTGCAACGATACGATCCCTGTGCTGGATACTGGTTGCATGAGTCTGAGAGAGGTACCTTGTAGAGCACTCGTTTCTCTCTTTGTTCTTCATGGTCTTGTTCTTCGCTCTCGATCTGTATCCTCGTTGCATTGTCAAGTGTCATGAACAACCGGTGGTTCCTCCCGAGCAAGTTTGTGACTCTCTTCATGTTACCATCAGCTAGAGCTTTTCTTACCCTGGTCGACGACACCTGACCCCGGTCTCTGGCATCGCCTTGCACTGACGATGGCGCTTGGTCGAACTTGTCCATCACAGCTTCCACCACAAAGACGTCCAGCCCCCATTCCTTGCAAAGTTTCTTGAGCTCTGATGAGTCCCCTGCTGCCTTGTATCCAAAGCGGTAGTTCTCGCCTGCGAACAACGTCGTGAATTTGCACGCACCAGGTAAGAATCTCATTTTTCTGGAGATGGAAGGAGAACTGACAAGTGCTATTTACCAGCGACGACGCCTTTCACTCGGAGCTCCACTGCCAGCTTCTCCACAAACTGTTGTGGACTCAGATGACGAACTTTGCCAAACTCGAGCGAGCATTCATCCGGAGTTAGACCCGAGCATTGAGCGCTCCACAAGAGCATGACTCGCGCTCGATCACAGGGAGCAACGACTGGCAATCTGCGCGAGAAGAGAAAAACTCCAAGCTTGATATGGACCAACAAGAATTTCCAGCAACAAGTTACCTCTTGTCCCAGCCAAGGATTTCTCCCATTCCCGTGAAAGAGAGAACAACCGGAGGCCCCATTCGTGAAGCTTGCTCGGCCAGAGATCGGTGGCCAATGTGTAAGGCATCGAACTTCCCAAGCGCGACCACTGAGCCTGCCAATTTGCCAGACTCCTGTTAAGATCCAATGGCAATAAGAAACAAAAGAGAGAGAGGATCAGTGAGAGAGCTCTTACCTGACGTCTCTGTGGAGAATCCATGGCTTGAGGTCTATGTGGAGAATCCATGGCTTGCGAGGAAGGAGAAGCTGGCGCTTGGGAGGCGACAACGTGAAGCTTTAGGCGCTTGCTGGAGATGGCGGCGGTGCCTGTGGCGAGAATTCCAGTGAGGAGGATATGGTGGCTGCTTGGCGCGTTCCACCTTGCAGTGGACTGCATTGCCCTAAAAGAGAAGGACGGTGGCCCTAAACCCTAATTTCTATGTGGATATTTTTATTACAAGATCTAAAAGCAATAGTCTTATTGCTTTCCACATATTGCCAACGCCAAAATCTAAGTGGAAGATTTTACACGGAACCAATCCTTCGAGCCTTAATTTATCCCTATGAACAGCGTGCCAGAGCTTAGTAAGCATTGTAAAAGTGAGGTGTTAGAGTTTTAAGGAAGATAGTTTTTTCTAGCACACGACACAGTTTCCTTTCTCAGTAGCAGCGAAGCACAAGGACCAGCCTGCCGGATTCTTTTTTGCGGGTGCGCTCAACCAACTTTCTGAGAACACACATGACAGGAGCTCCTCCCGATACGCCAAGCTCCCACCCCTCTCAATCGATTCCCAAACTTTCATAGCCTTCATCTCAAACCTTTAATTCTCGTGAGTCTGGGGCTGGAGCAGCAGTGGCACTGCCTCGAGTGGGCGATCGATCGCCATGCATGAAAAACACATGAACCTTGGAGAACACAAGGAGCTCATTGTGGAAGATCAATCAATCCTATGGCCTATGGAGAAGAAATGTGGAGTACCTGGAGAAGGTGTAGCGACTGGAGCGGCGGAGAGTACTCGGGTCTCACCTTCTATCCGGCGATGGATGAAAAATCGAGTGAAACCAGGTATTGGCGAAGCATTTCCATCTTAAGGAACATGTCTTGCGCTTCTCTCATCCCTCCAGATTTTACCCCGGCGCCAAAGAGTGCCGTCCATGCCACGGACGTCTTCACGGGCATCTTGCTAAAGAGTTTCCTAGCTTCTTGTATATGCCCAACCTGAATATATGCGCATGCAAGCCAGGACGTAAGATCCCGCTGTGCCACACGATCAAACATTTCTCTCGAAAAACTTAACATGTGTTTTTACACAAAAAACCTCCCATAGAACTCATGGGAGGTGCTCCAGCTGATGAATGCTGCTCCCAGCGATGGCAGTGGTTCCGCGCTGTGAGCTGCCAGAAGAACATCTGGGTGCAAGGTTGTGACAGTGATCCAAGCTCCCAGTGAAGGCGGCATGGAAGCCAAGGTGGCCTTTCGGTGGCTGCTTAATTGCCTTTCACGCTGAGGTCCTTCGAGCTTGATGTATATCATCAATGACAGATTCAGCGTGGTACAGCATTCAACTCTTCTTGTTTCCTTTTGCAGGAAAAAGAAATTACTTCCTAGATCTCGAGGACCAAGAGGCCAGTGTGACGAAAGAAAGCATCCTGTGAAAGACTGGCTGGGTCCCCAGTTCAAGGAGGCTCTTCTCCAGGCCAAAGATTCTGACTATTTTGATCTCCATTATTGTGAATCGTTGAAAATCTTCATCCGTTGAAGATCTTCGGGACTCCTCTTTAAAAAAAAAAAAAACAAAAAACACTATTATGTTTGAAAAACCATTCGGAGAATATGCTTCTAGGGGTGTACGATGACCTAGGGCTTGTGGAGTTATCCCACATGCCGGAGCTTAGCTTCAAGCCTATGGATGAGTATATAAAGCGATCGAAGAAGTGAAGCAAATTACACAGGCCGTGTGGTCAGCGCAAAGCGAACTATTCTTTCGCCTTTTACTAAAGAATACCGTGTGCTGGCCACATAATAGCGGCATATCAAAATTTTTGGAACGCTTCCTTAAGGAGGCACTCCCACAAGAATTAAAATTAAGTAGCATATGTTTGTTTTTACGTGGGGATTTGGAGCAAATCGGGGCTCACCCCGATCACTCTCTCTAATTTGTTATCCCTTATCCCTTTCCTTAAAAGAGATTTGGTGCTTAAATTGAGAAGTCGTGAGAACCACACAGAGACCCCTCATTGTATTTATATTCCTCTGGTACGTTTTTTCTTTTCTTTTCCATCTCCTGGTCATGAAACCATGAAACTTTTTCTTTCTCTTGGTCATGGCCCCGCTTGTGTAAGAACCAGAAAAATTTCAACGCGTTACCTCTTGTCCCAGCCAAGGATTTCTCCCATTCCCGTGAAAGAGAGAAGAACCGGAGGCCCCATTCGTGATAGAGCATCGAACTTCCCAAGCGTGACCACTGAGGAGAGAGAGACCCAGGATCACTCTTACCTGAGGTCTAAGTGGAGAATCCGTGGCTGAGTGAAGTAGAGACTGGATAGCGTAGCCTCTATCGAATTTCACGATGATCCTGCAAGAAGAAGTTAAAGAGAGAAAAGAACACGATAGAGAAGTACCTTGAGATGAAGACTGAGTGAAGTAGAGATTGGAAAGCGCGACATAAGGAGCACCAAAGTCCTTGTCTTCCAGCTTGTATGCACCGGCTGCGGCGTGTCGAGCTCGATCCGGAACTTCCGAGTGGATGACACAAGCGTTGAGCAAGCTCGTCCAGGAAACAGCGTCAGGCTGGAAAGGCATAGCGTTGATCATGTCCTGGGCCTCCAGAATCCATCCCGCTTTCCCCAGCAGATCGACCATGCAGCCGCAGAGCTCACGAGTCGCATGAAGTCCGTGATCCACCATCATCGAGGCAAAGCAAAGGCAGCCTTCTCTGACGAGTCCCGAATGGCTGAAGGCGTGCAGGATGTGCACGAACGTAATCCCGTTTGCTTTCACTCCTTCTAGATGCATTTCGCAAGACAGCGCCGGAACTTCTCTGTGCCTCCCCTGTCGCGAGTAAGCTGCGATGATACTCGTCCATGAAACCACGTCCCGCAGCTTGAGTCCATCAAACGCGAGCTTCGCAGCGGCGAGGCTGCCGGCCTTGCCATACATGTTGACGATCGCGTTGCCGATGGCTACCTCGGAGTCTAGACCCGAGGCAACTATCCGAGCGTGGATGACCTTCGCTTCGCGTAGAAACGATCCATGACCAAGAGCTTCGAGGATGTTGAGGTAAGTGATCCTGTCCTTCTGAATCCCTTCCTGGTCCATCCTACAGAACAAGTGCATCGCCTCTCTCCCGCGGACATTGTGAGACCACGCCCCGATCATCGCGTTCCACGCGATCAAACTCTTGAACTTGAGATTCGCGAACACCGCCGCTGCATCGTCCGGCTTCCCGCACTTCCCATACATGTCGATGAGAGCGGTCCCGAGCACAAGATCACGCTCGAGTCCTTGAGCGCTTAAACTACTTTCGAGAAGTCTTCCATCGGCCAGCGAGCCAGCCCCGGAGCAAGCATCAAGCGCGGACGCAAAGGTGACGGAGTTTGCTTTCACCCCTTCCAGATCCATCCGTCTCTTGAGCGTGAGCGCCTCCACATACGCTCCATTGTGGACGCAAGCCACGATCATGGACGTCCAGGCCACCACATTCTTGTCCCGGATCCTCTCAAACACCTCCCTTGCCTCGGCCAAGCTCCCATTCCTCCCATACATCGTCACCAGCGCGGTAGTCACCGACGCATCCGATCGAAACGTCGTCGCCCAGATGTCCCTGTGGATGTCTCGTCCATCGGCGATCGATCTGGAGCAAGCGCCAAGAACAGTGGTGAAAGTGATTCCATCCGCTGCTACGTCCATCTCCCTGTAAAGCTCCACAGCCTCGGCCTCTCTCCCATTCTCCACGCAAGCGGCCATGAGGGCATTCCAAGACCCGGTATCCTTCTTCGCCATCCTCTGGAAAATCCCCCTGGCCTCCTCCAAGCTCCCACACCTCCCATACATGGTGATGAGAGAATTCTCCAAGAACACATGAGAATCGCCGAGCCCATCCGCGACGATCCTCGCGTGGATCTCCCGACCCCGCGCGAGATCACCCAGCCAGGAGCACGCGCTCACGACCCCGATGTAGGTGATGTGATTGGGATCCACTGCCGCCTCGCGGATCATCGCCTGGAAGAGATCAAGCGCCTCGCCATGCCGGCAATTGCTGCAGTAGGCGCCGATCAAGAGATTCCAGGAGAAAACGTTGCGCCGGTAGATCGCATCGAATGCCGTCCGCGCGTCGCGGGTGCTGCCCAGCCGCCCGTACATCTGGACGAGAAGATTGCCAATGTAAGTCTGGCGATCAAGGCCTGTGGTGGAAATCCGAGAATGCAGCAACTTGCCTTGGTTTAAGCCAGCTCCGCGGCGGCAGCAGCGGATCTGCGCGGCGAGCGAATCCTCCAGCGTCGCCATGCCTCAAGAACCCTAAAATTTGGATTTTTAGGGTTCTTCGCTCAGGGTTTATGCTTGCTTTGCGCGATGAGCTTGCGAGGCATGGAATTCGTGGAGAGCTCAGGGATCACGTCCTTGTTGCAATGGGGCGTGCTCTTCGCGACGATTTGATCCTTGTGGTTCTCTGGGACGACGCTGGATTACAAGCACGAAACGCGCAGCAAGGGCAAACCAAGATTGCGATCGTCAATGTGATGGTTGCTGCTGCTCCAGGATGCGTCCGGTGCCTGGAAGCGCCAGACGAGGTATTCCATCTCCGCAACACGAGTGATCGGGGCAAGATATGGCGGGCGGTGCGAATTCAGTGCCAATGGGCTTTGGGGGATTTACCAGACGCTGGATTTCAGCCAGTTCTAGGTAGAGCTCCGGTGGGAAGAGCGGTTGTCATCTATGATTCCAAGAAAGAAGCTCCCAGCTTGGACGAGTTTGATAGTTTGTTTGTGTAAAATTTTTGACCCGAGAACCCTAAAATTGCACCAAGAGCCCTAAGATTTCTATCGGCGGGAGCGCTTTCTCCTTCTAGGGCCTTGGCGATGGTTTCTCCGGCGGTTGTGCCGGCATCCAAGGAAGCGTCCTCCAGCGATCTGCGCAGCAAGCCATCGCGTAAGTTTGATGATCGATTCTTCTTGCCAGAGATTTATTTCCAAGAAAATGCAGCCGGAGGAGCGGCGAGCGAGGTCTCGATACGGCTATGGCCGCCGGGCGCGCGCACAAGATCGCATGTCGTGAATCGCATGGCCGAGAATCTCAAGTCTCTGTCGACATTCTATCAGCCGGTGGAGCCGCAAGAGGCCGCCCGGGTAGCGGCATTGGTGGAGGAGCGCGCCTTCGAGGAGGGAGAGAGGGAGGATCAAGAAGTATCCGGGGTTTCTGGGAGCGGCAGGAACAATGGCAGCTCTGCCGTGAGGATCTACGCCAAGCAAGCGAGCCGGATGATGCTCGAGGTTCTCAAGACGGGTAAGCTTCCAGAGAAAGAGAAGGAAAAGGCCGAGGAAGCTCAAACCGCCATCGATGGTACTGGGCAAGAAAAAGATGCCTCTTCCGTGACGACTGCCGTGAAAGAGGTGATGGAAGATACTGGAGATTCTGCTTCCACTCCCCCGCTAGCTACTAAAGTTGATCCCCAGCTCTTCGATATCTCCGGTGGAAGCAGGGACGTGCTCGATCGAGAAAAAGCCGAGGAGGTGTTCCAGCCGCTGGTTGATCCTGATCATGGTTTCACGAAAGTTCGTTTGAGCAATCGGGCATTCACGAAGGAAGCTGCGGAGTTTGCTGGAAGACTGCTCTCGAGGTGTAAGGAGAGGCTGGTCGGGGCTGATCTCTCGGATATCGTGGCTGGAAGACCAGAGCCCGAGGCTTTGGACGTGATGTCTATCTTCTCGGCGGCTCTCGAAGGCAGCGACTTGAGGTTTCTCTATCTCTCCAACAACGCTCTCGGGGAGAAAGGTGTCCGGGCGTTTGGTTCATTGCTGAAGTCGCAGAAGCATCTCGAGGACCTTCGCTTTGAGAACAACGGGATTTCATCGGATGCTGCAAAGGCAATCGTGGAGCTTGTTTCAGGCAGCAAGCTCCGGACTCTTCACTTCCACAACAACATGAGTGGTGATCTCGGGGCTGAAAGGATTGCCAGCCTCGTCCGTCAGGCTACTGCCTTGGAGGACTTCAAGCTCTCCTCCAGTAGAGTGGGTACCAAGGGAGCAGTAGCATTGGCGGAGGCTCTCCAGGCTTGTTCGAGCTTGAAGAAACTCGACTTGAGAGACAACATCTTTGGGGAGGAGGGAGGTTTTGCTCTCGGAAAAGCTTTTAGGACCCAGCCTTTACTCGAGGAGCTCTACTTAAGTGATTTGGGATTGCAAAATGCCGGGGTGCAAGCAGTGCTGGAGGCTCTAGAGACCACGGCTCCAAAGCTAAGCGTTTTGGACCTGGGAAACAACGACATAAGTACGAGCTGTGCACCGCATCTCGTGCGCTTCTTGGAGAAGAAGGCCGCACTGAAGAAGCTGAGCCTAGCAGAGAACGAACTGAAAGACAAAGGTGTGATTCTTGTTTCGAACGCTCTGAGACAAGGCCACGATGACTTAGAGGAGCTGGACTTCACGCTAAATGACGTTGGAAGTGATGGTGCCATTGCTGCTGCCAAGGCCGTGACAACCAAGCCGCGCTTTAAGCTACTCATTCTGGAGTCCAACCATATCTCTGCGAAGGGATTGGCCTCTGTCAGGTCAGTGCTTGCAAGCGGAGTCGGAACTTCAGTGCTAGCTCCCTTGGAAGATAACGAGCTGGGTGATGAAGAAGACGAAGCAGAAGAAATTGATGAGAACGACGGCCCGAACGAAGAGGTTGGAGATACTGACGAACTGGAGAGTAGAGTCGGTGCTGTCACTATATAAGAGCTCGGTATGTTTTTCATTCATCTTTGCTTATGTCATTTGTTCTGATATGCTGTTTTTATCAGGGTAGCTTGTCTTGGTTGGAGGAACGCGTGGTATTTTTGTGGGAGTTAGCAACTGCGTCAAGCATAGGTGAGAGTGGCTCCAATATTCTCGGCAAGTAAGCTGTAGAGCCGCCACACGAGAAGTTGAGGCGTGGTGAAGCTCAATGTTTGGCCTTCCATCTGCCGCCAAATACAAACTTATAAATTCCAGACCCAGAGAATCCAGAGACGGTGCCGCTTGCGAATGCTCCAAGTAAGTTTCTCGATTTCGTTGTTACCTAACAAAACAACAAAAAGAAACAGGTCTCGGGTGGACCATGGCTGCCATTCTCGTCGTCGTCGCCTACGTCTTTGCCGTGTGGAGCAGCAGCAAAGTTGTGGCCTTACCACGCAATCTCACCACCATTCTCAGCCACTATCCCGAGTTTAGCAACTTCAACACGCTCCTCACGGAGACGTCCGTCGCGGAGGTGATCGACAACATGGAATCCGCGACCCTGTTTGTGCCGGACAACAGCAAGCTTCTGCGGGACCTTATCTTCCAGCTCAGAGTGGACCCGTCGATGATGGACCTCATGTCCGACCTTTGCAAGTTCCATGCCACCAGCGACTATCTCGACGTCCAGCGCTTCAAGTCCAACTCCACGACCCGTGTCGAGACGCTGCTGCCCCGCCGGAGCTTTCTCATAACGGTGGACACGAGAGGAGACATGAGGATCGTCGACTCAAATCGGAGCTCGCTCACGAAGCCTGCTATCATCCAGGGAAACGTCCAGAGCCCGGGGACGCTGGGTGTTATCAGCATCGACCGGGTGCTCAACCCGGCCTACGCACTGCGCGACGCTGCCGGGGCCGCCAAGAACGACAGCGCTCCGACGCACTCCAACTCCAGCTCGAGCGACACCACGACGACGAACTCGACATCATCCTCTGCAAGCTTCTCCTCAGATGAGTATCGCGCTCCTCCTACCAGTCGGACCTTCGTTTTGCTATTTACGACTTTGGTCGCTTTGTTTCGTCTCTAGCTAGAGAGTTCGCATAAACAAAAGCTCCAGAGTTTTCTACAAAGATAAGTTTTTTTCTCTTGAAAGTTTCATGGATTGATTCCAGGTCCTGGAGGGGGTCTAACTGGTGGCCTGCACTCCGGGCATTGTGCTGTTTCAATCTGAGCTGGTGGCGTGCACTCCAGGCATTGTGATGTTTCAATTCCCAATCTAGCCTGCTTCAGAGGAGCAAGCATTCCTGAGACAGGAAGAGAAATACAAGATAAAAAACTTACCATTTCCACTGCAGTAGCAGCTGATCCAACCAATATCATGAATTTCCACAAAGTTACCAAAAAAATCATCAACAACTTACCTGACAAAATGCAAACAAGAACGAGCTTGAGGATCATTTTCATTGTACTTGCTCTTCTTGCTGCCTCCTCTCTTTACATTTAAATTCTGTCAGGATCCGTGTTGACAATTTCTCGGAGTGTCTTCGAAGAAAATGCATGCACTTGTTATTGACTGGGAGGTGGCGCGTCACCACCACCACCAACCATTGACTTATCACCATTGATTCTTTTATCTTTAGATCACTAAAATTATAAGGTTTTGTAGTATAAAAGGCAGACCAAGTCATCAGTTATTTTCATTTTATATATTCTAAGAAATGGCTTTTACATTCTTATTTCTATGCTTTTCAACACTTTGTGTTTTCCTAGCAAACAAATTCCTCAGTTCGAGCATTATTTGCATTTGGAGATTCTTTTGTAGATGCTAGTGATTCATGGTCAAGTGATTAGATTTTGTAATAGTTATTTGCTTGTTGACAATATTTTCATTTTTTATTTTTGTTTATGTAGCACTACTACTTCCACAAGCTTATTTTAAAATTGGAAATAATATTCTTCCAAGGTGTTAATTTTGGTTTAGTTGGGTCTGGAATCCTTTCACAAACACGTATTGTAAGTATTTTGAAATTCTTGTATTTTTATGAATGAACTATTATTGATAGGTTTATTGATGAACTTCAGGTAAATATAATAATATATTTGTGTGATTTGTATAATAAATGTTTGATTATAGATGTTATATAATTTGGAATTTGTTAGTGTTGGATTAAGTGTTGGGATGTATTCAATTGAATATTATTGAAGGACAATGTGCATTTATTACTCAAATGTTTTTGGACTATGTTCATAATGATCTACAATCTTATAGTGAGTGTTTTAAATAAATATTTTTTTATTTTTTTATTTTTTCTATAAACAGGATTTATTGATTTTAGTAGTGCTTGTTACCCTCAAGGATCACACACCTTGGATTGCAATCCTGGAGCAAAAATTATTCTGATAGAGCCAAATTTGTTTTTTGGATGAAATTTATCAAATTGATGCTTTAACACATAGATAAATATAGATATGGACAGGAGTGAAGTATTAGTGAATTAGCATAATCTTAGATATTAATTAGTTTACAAATTAGTAATAATAATAATAATTTATAATCCATAATTTGCACTTCAAATGAACTTTATTTTATTTTAATCACTGTCTCAGAGCTTAACTGATTAACATAGCCAAGAACCCTAAAGATTGAGCAATGTGGGAGGACGACAATGCCTCACTGGCCGCGTTGTGCAGCGGCGCCGATGGATCCTCCATGGACTTCACTCCGGAGCTCCGGCGGATCGTGTCGATGAGCGCCAAGAGCGGTAAGTACTGGCACGATTGGCATCACCTAAGGCAGCTCCTCCAGTTTCGATTGAACCAAGTCGTCAAGAGGCTCTACCTCGACACCGCGAGCAGCGCTCCCCCCACCAGCAATGAGGCAAATGGCGCCGACGGCGAGAAGGCCGTCTACAGTGTCCTCAAGAAGCTCGCGGCCCAGCTCGCCTCGTTCGAGGACGCGGCGCCCTTCACGCTCCAGAGAATCTGCGAGCTGCTGCTGGAGCCCGACCAGATCTACTCGACCATCGACAAGTTTGAGCTCGCGTTTGAGAAGCTGCTGCTCGTGACCTCGACGCTCGATCCCGTCCCGCCTGATTCTTATCCTGCTGGATTGGCAACAGCACCATCGCTAGACGCTGATGCCAAGAATGGTGGCGAGCAAAACGAAGAACACAGTGCTAGTAAACCAGCAGCCTAGGAAGGAAGATCTACTACAAGCATTGACGACATTGTCTTTCTTCATTTGTAAGAGCTGGGAATTTCTTACGGGTTTGAGCCGCGGATAGGAACATTTGGGCCGTATTTCGGCCTGAAGAAACGGTTGGAGCTCGGGGGCTCTCGGCCATCGCCCAAGAGATGTGAAATCCTGGCGAAGAAGCTTGGATGATTGTCTTCGTCATGCTGAAACACAATTCTTTGTCAATCAAACAAAAAACAAAAATGGTTTTTACCACGAGAGTGTGCCTAGCTCGGCCATTCACCGAAGGAAGGAGGATGAATAACGAGACGATCGCCAACAGGATCATTCGCTTCGCCTCCATCCCCATTCGTTTGTTTGCTTCGCGTCTCTCTCGGTCTTGCGAGATAAATCGTGGTTTTTATAAGCGATCGTGCGTCAAAAGCAAGTCAACAAAAGCAAGCGATCGAATTATCACTGCTGGCAGCATTCACGAAACTTTGTAAAAGATGTTGACAAAGGTATTAGGAAAAAAAGCACTTTTATTTTGCCATTTAATCTTTGGCAACCACCACAGCAAAGAAATCGCGTGAGATCCCTGATAGTGTGAGCATCACTTTTCTGTCGAGCATATCATCTCGAGAAATCTCACGGGGCCCAACCGGTTGATTTATGTGTGAAGTTTCGGTTGGAGCTGAGATGTAAGATGGTGGCAAAACTCGAGCCAGTCTCGTCGATCTGGAAGCCAAACATCCGCTAATCAGTGACAAATTCGAAACAGAGAGAGTGATTTCTAAGCTCTACTGACCAACAGGAGTGACACCAGGAGCATTCATTGTTTCTCTCGAGCTCTGATGGAACGCTGGTTTAAAAGTCGTCGGCTACGATCACGAAACAATGTCGTTAAACAATTGCGAAGGGAAATAAACAACGTGAAATGGCAGCACAGCTTTGTCAAACAGTAGGAAAGCGAAGCTTCGTCCTTCACAATGAATAAAGCATAGAAAACTGGAAGCTGGAAGAAACTTACAGAATCGACCAACCTTCCACCAACACCATGAAGGAGATTGGGCAACTAACACTATAGACGATAGTACGTATAGACAAGCTAGATCGAATATGGAGCTCCCCGCTCCTGGAAAAAACAGGCCCCGGGTAAAAAGAAGAAGAGAAAAAGAAGGAATTGGTACGCTAGCTTGCAGTTCCAGTTCCAGGCCCGGCTGAAGTTCCCGTTGGAGTCATGCCGACGGATCCACCACCCCGGAAATTGAAGGAGTCGCGGAGGTTGAAGTTGCGACTGAACTTGAAAGAGTCTCGGAAGTTGAACGAGTCCCGGACATCGAAAGCTTGCCACGAGCCCTCTCTGGCCTTGACGATGAAAACGTAGTACGCCTCGCTGAGCAGCATGGTGAAGAAGATGAACGCGGCGGCGGCGCCAAACACCCCCCTCCGGAGCTCCACGCAATCCAGAGGCTCGTTTGGAGTCGCGAATCCATTCGTGTGGATGGAGTTGCGAGCAGAGGCTCCGGCAAGGCAGATCTGCGCAATGCAGAAGCAAATCCTGGGAAAAAAGAGAGCTCCCGTAAGAAAACCAAGCAAGGACAAAGTAGACAAAGATGGCTTACCATGAGAATATGAAAAAGAAGATCGCTAGAGTTCTTGGTTTGCCGTCGCTGAGAGGCGCTCCACAGCACAGACACTTGGTAGCGCCCATTATAATCCCCTGAGCGAGCAGCACGAACAAGAAGGCGCCGGCTCCCAGCCCGGTGGAGATATCCTTGCCGTAGGCGCAATAGGTGAGCGTCCCAGTGTCATCGTGTCCCACGGCCGCCTGGAAATCGATCGACAGCCAAGAATCATCAGCGATTTCCTGGATCTCTGGCGATATTTCGCGGTGCCAGCGAAGAATGCGGCATCGGGGAGGCTAGAATTCCCCATTCTAGGCAAGGATTTGGAGCCGAAAGGCTAGAATTTCACACTACATACCGTGCTGCGCTTCGATTCGGCTCCGACCGCCAGGCCAAACGCGACGAGGAAGAGCACGGTGGTGGAGATCACGACGAGCAGGGACACATTCTTGATCTCCTGCATTGTCTCGCCGCCCTCTTGGATCCACAAAAAAGCCCTTCCTCGCTACCTAAATATTTAAGCAAGATCTAGCGGAATATTCCCCTCCGACCGTGACCGTTGGATGTTGTTCTTATAAACCCTTGACGATTACATTAGGGCAGAAGGGAAGAAGCTCTGGGGCGATGGAAGACGAGGCCTCCGTCAAGGCGCTCGTGAACGATGCGGCTTTCAAGCGCGGGAAAGAGCTGATCAAGGCCAAGAAGCTCCACGAGGTGGAATTTGTAGGGGAGGATTGCGAGAAGGCGTCGGCTGTCTGTGAAGGTGAGGTTTTTTTTTTCCGCTGGTGATGTGATCGATCGCTTTTCCTGTCGCTTCTAGGCTCCGGTCCAGGGGATAGCTACGATGTGAGCATTAGCATCGATCCATCAGATGCAACCAAGCAACCCACGTATCGCTGCTCCTGTCCAGCTGGAAGGGGAATGTGTAAGCACGTCATAGCTTTGCTACTTCACCGCGCAAATCACGTAAGTTTCTTCTTCTTTTTTCAAGTGTTCTAGACTCTTTTCCGTGCAGCTCCATTGCTTGAAAAACGGTGCTTCGTCTAGCGAGATCAAAGAGGAGGAAGAGGAGGATCTAGAGCCACTACCTACGATCGAATGGGTGAGAAATCCAGTGAAGCTAACTCCGGATCCGGGGGCACGGCGAGCTCTGCCGGCATGGATGACTGCTGCCGCCGTCGAAAAGCCGAAGAAGGCGCGAGCATCAAAGAGGCAAAAGGTGGAAGAGGAGGATGGCGACGATCCCCAGACTTCCGCCGGGAGAAAAGCTCCCGCTGCCAGGAAAGCCAAGAGTTCCAAAGGCAAGCAAAAAGTTGACGACGCGGAGGAAGAAGTTATAGATGACGAGGAGCCAGTGAAGCCTGCTAAGAAAGCAACCGCTCGTCAAACCAGGAACAGGGGAGATGATAGCGACCAAGGCAAAGACAAACCCGCGAACAAAGCAGCTGACGAAGCTCCAGGTGCAGGTGCTGTTAAAGCAGCGCAGCGGAGATCGAGAAAAGCCGAGAGTGACGAGGCTTTGCCAGAAAATACCAGCGGTGGGGTGGACATGAAGGGAGCTTTCGAGGCTTTTTGCAAGCGAGCTCCGGCCCCCGAGGTGGGAAAGGACCAGGCCACCAAGAAAAGCAAGCGGAAACTAAAAAAAGTCGTGGAGGACGAGGAGACTACAGACCGGACACTGGACGAACTTATGTGCATAGCTCATCAGGTATTCTACTCTCTCTTTTTTTCTCGTTTTCTCTCGGATAACTGTGGCCTCTTTCCTTTTTAAAAGAATCTTGACCACGAGGACAGCCCTGAGGCTATCCTCACGAACAATGTGGAAGACAAACAGGACAGCCCCAAGCCATTAGCCGCCGGCAACGTGAACGGAACTTCCACCCAGCCAGCAAAGAAAAAAGCGAAGCTGAACGATTCCATGTTTGCTTTGAGCGGGTGGAAAAGCAAGTCAGCTGCTACTGCAGCAGAGAATGAGTCGGGAAGCTCGAGCAGTAAAGCACCGACCAGGGAAAGCTACGAGCATGAAAGAGTCAGCACTGTTGGAAGGGATGAGGCCGGGTTCGCGGGAAGCGATCGAGCTCAAGAGGAGCAAACTGTTTCAGGTGCTGCGAGGCTCGTGTCAACTGACACTCTCGAGGATGAGATGCTCGGGATGCTCTTTGGAGGCTACGTCCCAAAGAAGGCTCCGGCTTCCCCTCAAGCGATGGAAGCTAACTTGCAAAGGCCCGAGCCAGAAGTAGTTCCAAGGCCAGCAATAGTTCCAAGGGATGTGATGGAAGCACCGGTGAGAGTGGCAGTCGAGGCACCACAGTCAATCGAGGAAACAAGGTCCATCCAGCCAAAACCAAAGAAGAAGAGCAGTCTAAAGGATCAAATCGGCATGCTACTCAAGTAAATCCGCTACAGTTTTTGTTTTCCTTTCACTTGGCACTGGTAAGCATATGATTCTTGTGTTGTTCCACTAACCAGCTTAATCAATCTACTTGCAGACCACTGAGAGAAAGATTCCGGAAATTGAGATGATTGTGGAGATTTATAAAAGAGAGAAGGGATGCTCTTGAAAGATTGCGTGATTATGGATGTTTCTCACGAGAAAATTAAAGAGAGGTACTTGTTAATATTGCTTTTTATTATCCGAGTTGTTGCCGCGTCCCTCGTCTATTCGATGAAGATCACACAATATAAATGGACGAGACAAGGACAACACACTGATGAATGAGCTGAGACGAGCTCTAATGTTATGACATGAAAAATATAAAAAATTATATATACAAGGCGAAAAATATATACATCTTCGCGTGCTTTGGTGGTGCGTCATCCATAACAAAGTCGCTCTCAGAGGGAAAGAAAATAAAAAAAAATGGAAAAGGGAACTTCTCTGTGGATTTGGTTTTGGATGAATCTTTTTGCTTTTTATCAGAAAACATTAGCAAATTTTAGTATAAACGGGACTTAAAACATATCTATCTATCTGAGTTCTTTGATTTCATAAAGCTAAAAAAACATTATAATAAGGAGATCTCCCACACAGTACCTTTCGTGTACAATTTAACCTTTAGGTGCATCAAATTCGAGCAAAATTTTATGAGCTTTATGGGATGCGAGGTGGCGAGCTCCTACGATGTCCACTCCATACACACAAGCAGCTCTTCAAATCAAGAAAGAGAGATGGGGTTGTGGAATTGCTTTACAGCCAAAAGAAATGAAAGAAGGAAAAAACAAATTGGAGCACCCATACTCAAAACCACAAGAGAGGCCCCACGTTGAAAAATAGGAAATCAATCTAGTTTAATCTTTTTTTCCGTCATTTTTCTGTCCATGGCACAATATCACTCGTTGCCGATTCCACAGCAAAGAAAGAAACAAAAAATCCCCCGGCGCCCCCCCTCCCCCCCCCAATCTACACGAAAAGCAGGGCGTGAGGGCGTATCCGACCCGCCCAATCAAACGCCCATCGCTCGCGCGCGGCACGTGCCGGGTGGCCTACCACCGTCCGATGGGCGGAATATTCTATTTTCAAACAGGACCGTCCGATGTCAACGTGTCATGATTCTACCTTTGAATCCCAATCCATCCCATGTTGATTGGTCAATGAATAGTTTTTAGAGTCCACTGTGTGTTTTTTTTAATTGTTAGAGATGAATTAAATGGAAAAGTAGTAGAATTCTGCCCACTTCAACAATTAATCTTGTACCCTGCCCCCACCAAAAAAAGCCCTTGTTGTTGACTCAACCAACACTTGTTGATATATCCAACCCCTTCTTTTCCTCCTGTTGTTGGCCACACCATCCCCTCTTGCAATGCTTATCCACTTCCCTATTGTCTTCTTTTACTTTCACTGTCAATGACATGCATGCACATTGCCCCTATTTGTTTTGATTTTTCTCCCAAGACGCCACACTATGCAGAATCAGGTCAATCCATCAATCACTCACTCACTTACACTAACACAGACTTAACAAATCATACTATACCATCTTCTTTAATATGTTGGGCTGTGGGCCTTTGGGATGATAGATGAGAACAAAAACAAAGCAAGGGGCAGGAAGGAGAAACAGAACACTGTTTGTTGTTAGTGGAAGTCTCTGTTCACTCATCTCAATCCCATTCTTTGCCCCCATTTAAGCCCTCCCAAACACCATCCCCTTCCTCTTTCCTTGCCTTGCCTTGCCTTGAGCACCATAGTCCAGAGGTCTTGAGCGTTTCTCCTCCTCTCCCAAATCTATAGGTGGCTTGCACACATAAAATTTCTAGCTGCCCCAGTGAGTGAAAAAAAGTCCAAAGCTCTCTCTCCTCCAGCTCTCATTGAGGGGGACAAACAAAGGAGTGTGCAAGAGGATAAGCAAGAACAAGTTTTTTTGGTCCTAGCTAGTTTATTGTAAATCAATCAGCTGCTTGTGTCTGTCCTGGTGCACACAAGAGCCAGAGAAGAATACAAACACATACACACTCTCACACTTACCCATAGAAAGTTCCGTACGGACAAATCATACACGTCCAGTTCCTTCCGTGTAAGTAATGGCCAGGATCCAGTCCACCATCTGCTGCTCTATCCACAACATTTAGCCAAATACCCAGAAGAAAGAGGGAGGGTGAAAGAGGGTAACTCGCAATTCTTTGTCTCCGCGAAGTTTTAGTTCGCTGTTCTCCAATCCTTGTGAGTTGTCAGCTGATCGAAGTGTTCCTTCTCTGTTGGGTGTGGCCCGGCTACACGTTTTCGATTGTTTGGCAGGGAATTGGATCGAGCCGTTCTACTTGTCTACTCACTTCGCTCTCTTCCTTGGAATGTGGTGGCCAGCAACAGCACGGGTACGAGTAGAAGAAGAAAAAGAAGGAAGGAGTGGAAGGCTTCCAAGTGTTGTTCAACAAGGGGTACTTTGCCGGCAAGGAGCGTCGTGATCTCGCCGACCACCAAGGTCACCGCTTGATGATCGCGATCGAGGAAGGCTCTACATGATGGTGCCACTGTTCCTCGTCCGGCAATGGGATCTCTAGGAGCAGTGGTCTACGGCGGGGGTGGATCGACGAGAGGTGAGTGCGGTGGAGTGACGGAGGAGCTAGCGTCAACCATGTTCATCGAGAGCGATCTCTTCCTCGCCGACCCCATCGCCGACTGGCAGCAGCAGCAACAGCAGCAGCAATCCATCTTCGACTCCAAGGATTGGGGATCCATCAATTCGCAGGCGCAGGACCACCACCTCTACATCGACCCGTGCTGCGATTTCGGGGACGTGTTCGGCGGCAATGGACTCCAGACAACGCCGATTTCGGTGCTGGATTACGTCCACGAGCAGCAGCAGCAGCACTACCACAGCAGTGATTTCGATAGTGGGTTCTTTGAGAGGGATCAGGACGACGCTATGGAGATTCAGGAGCTCCTGGCGGGTTTCACGCAGCAGGGCCATGGCATGATACAATTGCCCAAGCGGGCGCCAGGCGAATTGGAGATCGAGCGCCTGGCCGGCGAGCTGGCCGGCGAGATCGACAGCAGCAGCAGCAGTGCCGCCAGTCCCCCGGGACAGATGTCGTCAAGCTCTTTACCACCCCTGACACCAGTCTCGGCACGGGCGCAGGTCCCGCAACAGGGCATTTCCTTGCCGGTGGCAAACCCCCGGCTGTCCAGCGTCTCCCAAGGTTCGTGTTTCAATCCTAGGACTCCTCCCCCTCACCCAAGGACTCCGCAGCTCAGCCCGGGCTCCACCACCACTAGCGTCTGCGTCCAGTCGGAGCAGCGGGCTTTCATCAACCCAAAGCTGGAAGAACTCGATTACCATCACCACCGTCACCACCACCCCCAAGAACATCACCAAGAACATCAGCAGCTAGTGATCCAACCCATGAAGCAAGAGATGGTGGCATTGGGTGGCGGGGGGGTTTCCAGGGCAGGAGGAGGAGATTACAACAGCAATCACCACCACCACCTTGGTCAACAGCAGCAGCAGCAGCAGCAGCAGCGACACCATAGCAACAACTTTCCCAAATTCGAGCCCGTGGACCAGCAGCTCCGCCTCGTCCGGATGCTCCTCAGCTGCGCCGGCGCTGTGGCCATCGACAACCTCGACCTCGCCCGCGCCATTCTCGTCCAGCTCCGCGCGCTGGTCGTCCCCCACGGCAGCCCCATGCAGCGGCTAGCCTCGTACGTGACCGAGGCCCTGGTGGCGCGCCTCAGCCGCAACACCCGCTCCTCCCACTTCCAGGGCCTCATCGCCGACCACAGCCTCCAGCAGCTGAGCAGCGCCACGCGCAGCGACATGCTCGAGGCCTTTTGGGTCTTCTACGAGTACATTCCCATCGGCAAGTTCACGCACCTCACCATGAACCAGATCCTGCTCGAGGCCGCCGACCGCGAGCGCGCCATCCACGTCGTCGACTTCCAGGTCTGGTATGGCGCGCAGTGGCCCTCCTTCCTCCAGTCGCTGGCCATGCGCCCCGGCGGCCCGCCCGTCGTGCGCATGACCGCCGTTGGCTCCTCGCTGCGTGACCTCCAGGAGGCCGGGAGCAAGCTTCTCGACTGCGCCCGATCGCTGGGGGTGCCCTTCGAGTACTGCATTCTCAGAGTGGAGCTCGAGGAGTTCCACGCCGGGATGGTGGAGCTCCGGGATGGCGAGGCGGTGCTCGTCAACAGCCTGTGCCAGTTCCACCGGTTCCTCAAGCGTGACCTCGACCAGTTCCTGCAGGGGCTGCGCTCGCTGCGGCCGAGGCTGGTGGTGATGGCCGAGAACGACGCGGATCACAATAGCCCCGATTTCATGCACCGCTTCATGGCCTGCCTCCACTACTACTCGGCCGTGTTTGACGCGTTCGATGCGTCGCTACACATGCCTGGGACGCTCCCCGGGCGGAAGAAACTCGAGGAGCTCATCGCGGCGCAGAAGCTGCGCAACATGATCGCGTGCGAGGGTAGCGAGCGCGTGGAGCGGCACGAGTCAATGCGGGCGTGGAACGCCAGGATGGAGGGCGTGGGCTTCCGAGCCGTGTCCATGAGCCACAAGGCGATCAACCAGGCCAGCCTTCTTCTCAAGCTCTACTACTCGGATGGATATACGCTGACGAACCAGGAGGGGTTCTTGATCCTAGGGTGGCGGGGAATGCCGCTCAATGGCGTTGGGGCTTGGATCTGAGCTGGGTTTGGTTTCCAGGGCGGGATGACGACAACAAGAAAGTATAACGACTAGGCACAACTGACAAAGACACATGCGGCATTTTCCCAGGCTGGGCATTTGCTGGAGGGATTTTCACACAACATGACTTGTACGATCGAAGGAGGGGGAGATTTGTGTTCGTGTGCATCGTGAGTGTGTTGTAAAAAAAGATGGTAGACACACAAGAGGGAAAGCTAGCTTTCAGTAATGTGTTGGAAAAGGAAAAATTTTGGAGAATAAACATGGTTGGATTGATGATCGATCGCCGTCCCTTTTCAGACGACAAGATTTTGGGGTAGCTTGGATTGAATTTTTCTATCTTTCTTGTGACTTGTCAGGCTCTCCTAAGAAAGTTTCAACTTCAACTTCGCTGATTGGCTACAACGTCTTACTCTCTAATGGATGGCATGGTAAGTTGGGCACAAGTGGTTTGTTATGATAAGATTTGGCTGGAAATTTGTTTTGTTTATATTCACGATGTGGTCGTATGCCAGTTTTTTCTTTGTTTTCGCACGTTTCGCCGCAAAATGGAATGAGATGATCAGATGGAGGAGTATAAAACTTGGGGTCAAATGTTGGCCTAGGAAACAATGCGCCACTTTCATTTGTTCTACCTAGTTGGGGTGTGTGTTTATCCAACTGAGGGTGACGAAGGAAGGTGTTGCTTTCAAGAACACCCAAAAGCAAGAGAAGAAAATAAAGAATTCAAAGAAAAAGTCCTCTTTGTTTATCGTTTACCAGTATGATGATGTCTGCCCGGATCATTTTCTTATTCATACCCATGGGAATTGTTAACTCGTCATTGCACCGACGCTTGGGTCGTGATCAAATGGCTGGCTAGCTGGCCGGCTCAATTATCGGGCAATCAGGACGTATTTCTTACTTCATATATGGTGTTGTCATAACAGTCACTGTTGTGAAAATCAATTTGGTATAATCACAACTTGGTCAACCTATAAGTGTTTGAATTCACAAGAAAAAATTGAACCTGGAGAAAGAGGTGGAGTAATCCAAGAGTTAAGCATTCACAACCTCGATTATTAATTATCTTATTATAAAGAAGTGTGGGTAAAATAATAATATCTGGTCGGGCTGATCTCAAGCTGTGTGCGCTGCCTGGACAAGTGCCGCAACCATGTCAAGTATCTCGTTGGCTCGTTGTAGTTGGGCGATGGAAGGAACCGCATGCCTCTCATCATTCAAGTGACGTGCTTCGCTTGGGAGTGTTTGCTCAACTGGGCATCTTGTGCGATGACAAAATCCCTCAACATAGGATTCATTCCACTTGTTCACAAACTTGACGAGCAAGCACATCGCCCTTCTCAAATCCCTGGTTGGAACAAGTACATAACCTACCATAACACACCCTGAGTGCGTACTTCTGGAGGTGCACCCTATGGAGCACCCGCTTTTCTGGCGTCCATATTTGCACTCTGCGGGCTCATCTGCCAGGCCATCAAATGATTCCTTAGCCTGAGGCTAAAGACCAAAGCTAGTTGACGTTTCCAAGATGCATGACAGTGAAAATGTTAAAAAGTAACATGGTTTAGCTGACCAAAAAAAGTCCTCTTTGCTCAGTAAAGTTCCAATTTTGAGGTGAAGTTCCAATTTTGATTCTAGATTGGAACATCAAGATTGGAGCATGGAGTTTGAAATACTAAGTATAGAACCAAATTATTAATAAAATTTTTACTTGCATTTTTATAGTTATAAATTGTAAGTTGTACTATTCAAACCCAAGAACAGTTAATATTCGGTCTTTATTTAGGCACACTTAACACCTTTCCTTCTATAATTGAATTGTGAAGTTCCTCAGTTTAAACTTTTGGGAGGTCCACTTTTCAAACTTAAAGATGATTAAGTTTTAATCTTTGACCAATCAAGAAATAAAGGACATGTTGTACATAGGCCATTCACTTTATTTTTGAATAATTTTTTTATAAGTTGTTCTTTTTTATTACTTAATAATCTTTTATGCTAAGCATCACTCTCTCTTAGCACTTTACACTTTGGGTTTAGCTGAGCAAAAGTAAAATTGGACTACTAGATATTTGTAATTAACTAAAGGGAACACTTTGAGACAAAATTTATTACAGTGCACTAGAAATACATAAAGTTAAATGTTATTCAAGTTTGAAATAGTATTGAGATGGGTGATATATTCGGAAGTCCAAACTAAAAAGATTATATTACGTTTGACTTTGTTGGTTGACTAAGGGAATCACAGCACATTGACATTTGGTCAGATTTGAAATTGTTTTTAAAAATTATTTTTCCTAGATTATTTCCCTCTATTTTTAAATCCTAATAGATTTTTCTCATATTGTTCCACATGAATCTAATGCTTTATATATGTTATTTTAAAGCACAATAAGGCTATAAACATCATTTAAATAAATAAGTTTTTTTAAAATCCTAATAATTTATTGTGCAATATAGAATTGTTTAGTTTTATTTATATTTTATCTTTATATTTCTTTCATGTAAATAAATTTCAAGTTAAATATAAATTTATATACATATTCATGGATTTACATGAAAACTAAGAGTTTATATTTCTTCAAACTTGTTTTTTTAGTGCTTTACTAATAGGGTATCTTAGATATTTACTTTAACAAATTGATAAAGATAATTTATTCTTCCATCTCCCTAAGAATAAACACAAAACATTACATAAAGACAATCTATGTGATCTAAATTGTGGTCATGCCAATCCACACATGTACACAAACAATGTGCAAGAAGGAAATAAATCAAGATATGGGAGAAGAAAAAGTACCAAAAGGAAGTAATATCTATAGAAAAATCCTATTGTAAAGCATGTAAAATATATATTAAAGATATTGAAGATATATTCAAAATATTGAAGATTGAGTTATGTAAAACTTTCTACCACTCAACTACTAAGTTAAGATGTGGAGGAACATTCATATATTACAATGTGCAATAATTGAAGTATTTTGTATAAAGGGATCAAAATAAATCGCACTATTTCTCTTAGATTTAAATATACTATTACCATAAATCCTTGGAACTTTGGGAGATAAATAAAGATAAAATAGCTCTCTCATTAAGAAATTGTCCTTTTTCAGTTGATTTAAAGGGATAGAGATAAGATATGCTATCATTTTAGTTCTATTGATTAGTCACTATTTAAAATATAATATAGTTTTGAGCAAGATATTATAAACTCTTGAATTTGGACTTTCTGAGATATCACATAACCCAATATTACTCAAACTAAAAGACATTTTCCCAAAGTATCCCAAAACTCTTAATTTATTGGAAAAAAAAGGTGCACTCATGGTCATAAACCCGTTTTCTTTATATTTAAACCTTTATAGATTATATCTCAAATTATTCTCTTTCATTATTTATAATTCATCATGCTTCTTTTCAAGTTTACGCCATCGTAAATGGAAGATAAAAGGTGCAACTCTCTTGACACCCTATCCCTTAAATTTAGCCTAGCAAGAGCAAAATATATTGTCAAATGTCAATCTCAATATGTGGTCTAATTCCTCAACTAACTAATAGATTCAAACCCAAAAACTCTTTGATAATAAATGTAAGTTGACTTCCCAAGAAGTCACCTAGTTTAGTATTAAAGACGTTTAACCCTAAGTATCCTAAAACCTATAATCAATTGGAAAAAGGAGTGCACTCATATTCATGAGCTCTTTCCCTCTATATTTGAACCTTTATGAATTATCTCTCAAATCATTATTTTTATTGTTTACATATATACTCTTACCCTTAAAATTAAAATCATATATATATTGCGTCCTAAGTAATTCACCTCAACTAGATTAGTGTACACAAAAGGAAGACACTTATACTATCTTGCATCAAATACCAAATACCAGTGGAGACCTATGTCCTCTTGACATGCTACTCCTTAAGGATAGGTTCATACCTTAGACTTTCCAATTCCAATATAAGTGGTGATATACTTGGCCATCAATAAGAGTTAGACTAAGAAACAACTCTGATACCAAATTGTAAGTGATTAAATTTTTCATTTTACTTTAGTCACTTAACCACACCTCCGACCACTTGAAGGAGTCTCACTCACAACCTCCATAAATCCTATTCCGGACTTGGGGCTTGCTATCCCCGAGAATGGCATCTGTCAGGAATCCCCCAATTCTTGCCACATTCCTGACTCTCGCCGGATTCCTGACCTGCAGACCACATTCCTGACTCTCGAGACACTTCCCTATTCCTGACTCTCGAGACACTTCCCGATTCCTGAGTCTCGAGCCACATTCCTGATGATGATGTGGCGCCTCCTCGACCTCAGCTATATTTAGGCCGTCCTCGATCCAAGAGTGGTGGAGCTTCATCAACCTATAGTATATATAGGTTAGCCTTGTTCCATTTCTCCACAATCTAAATCAACATCAGTTTAAGGCTTCTTCTTTGTTTTCACTAGCTTTTTCTCTTTGTCTTTAGCATTTTCCAGTCTTGATCTTGTTGGGGGTCTTGACAGTTTGATTCAGATTGTGGTTTTTGCTTTTCTTTTAGCTTGTTTTGATTATTTGATTGCCTTTGTCTTTTTCCCCCTTTCTTTTCTTTCTTCTTGCCAATGGAGTCTCCAAGCCATCCTGATTTCTTTGCCGAAGTCCTTGCAAAAATCCAGTCTGAGAATACCGAGCTGAAGGCGACCCTTCTTCGCATGCAGTAGGAGCTTGCTTCACTTTCGGCTCAAGGATCCAGCAAAGTTCCTGAACCGAAGGTGAGTTTCCCGGCGAAATTTTCAGGCAAGCGTTCGGAGCTTCGTGGATTTTTGAACCAAATGGAGCTGATCTTTGCACTTCAACATCGGCGGTACCCCACTCCCGAGTCTCAAATCGGCGCGATTGGGACATTGCTCGAGGGTGCAGCTTTGTCATGGTTTTCTCCTCTTCTGGAGAAGAGCATGAAAGGGGTTGTGGTTCCGGAGCTGATGGATCTTCAATTGTTCAAAGAGAAGCTCGAAGCATGTTTTGGCGAGACGGATCGGGTTCGGGCTGCTACCACAAAGATGAGATGGCTCTCTCAAGGGTCTCGTCCTGCCTCAATCTACGCTGCAGAGTTCCAACTCCTTGCCTTGGACACTCAGTGGGATGAGCGAGCCCTGATTGACCAATTTCGTTTCGGTCTCAACAACGGTGTCAAGGATTTGTTGCTCACCATGGAGGATCCCAAGGACCTGTTGGATGCCATCAACAAAGCTGTTCGATGTGACAATCGTCTCTTTGAACGTCGTCAGGAAAGT